CTAATCAGGTTTGATCGTTCCGAAAACACTCGGATCGAAGCGCTGTCTCGTCGCTCCGCCCGGTCAGCCCTCGACGCACGTCAAAACTGAACTGGGAACAACAACAGTGATTGAAGCCCCAGTGGTTTCAACTCAGCTGTGGCCACACACAGCCGAGGGAGCACCGCTCCCACGCAACCATCTGACCCTCCGCCGGCGGGTTGACAGGCCTCCGCGTGGTTACGCTTCTGGGTTTTGAGCGGCACGTTATCGGCGAAAAAAAAGAAAAACCTGCAGCACTTCCGGGAGACGACGGTGGCCAGCGGCCGACTGGCGGCGGAAGTGCATTTCATCACTACCCCGAGCATGTCGCGCTCAGCTCTGTTAACGGCTAATTGGTGGGTCAGCATGCCGGGGCTATCGCACACACACACACACACACACATATTTGGGTATGTGTGGTGGCCCCCTCGCAGCCTGCCGGGGTCTGGGTCCCGTGCCAGGCTCCGTCTTGGGCTCTGCGCAGAATAAAGAGCAGCTCTGTTGCCTCTCTCTGCCGCACGGGATCCAGCCAGTGTTCACCCTCTGCTCCTCAGACAATACCGATTGTTCTGCTGTTTAATGAAGAAGCGTCGACGTGGAAAAACTAGGGGCGGGGGGGGGGGGGTTAACTTCTAGTCACTTCCTGGGTCCCGTGATGCACTATGTAGGAGACGGGTGGGTCGCTGTGCTCGCACAAAAGCCGAAAAAGTAAAGTGAGTAGAGTTGGGGGGCCAAATTCTAAACTCAAGCCGTCTTTCTGAATGAACTGAGTGTGTGTGTGTGTGTGTGTGTGTGTGTGTGTGTGTGTACAAAACGCCATGCACGACCTCGCACCACACCACGGTAACCTCAGGTCTACTAACAACTTCCCCTGCGGTGGGTTGAGATGCGGTGGGAGCTCACTGTTCATGCTTCTTCTTCTTCTTCTTTTATTATTATACCTATTCAGCAACAATGCTCTTGGCGGCCCGGAGGCCCGAGCTGAACGCCACGCACGCCGCCTGACGCGCGGCCAGCGTGACAAATTGCACTTCAACTGAACACGACGGCCACTCGTGTGGTTAATCTGAGGGGTACATTTCGGATGCAGGTCCCCGCCGCACGACGGACAGCAGCTCAGAGTGCTGCAGCAGCCTTTGAACAAAGTAGCTTAGATGTAATCTGGACAGACTATTTAGGAAGAGCAGCCAGAACAACAGCTAAGCCTGCAGGCCCCATATGGCATCTGAAGTAACGGCTGTAAACGACCCTTCGCTGGGATGTCGGCGCTGTGCGGAGGTGACACTGAAAGGGCAGCCCCGGTACCGGCCCAGCGCCGTGTGTGTGTGTGTCTGTGTGTGACTCGTCTTCTTCTTGCAGACGTGTCTCACCAGCTCTATGGCAACCGCAAGGGAGGTGAAGACCTGCAAACACGCTTTCCAGAGCGCAGAGGCGACCGGCGGCGTTTACAAGACTCACAAAGTCAAGAGCAGGAATTAAACACGCAGCAACTGCTTATTAAACACTTGTGAAAGTTAACAATGAATAACTTCCATCTTATACCTGCATGGAAATGCTTCCCTTACGGCTTTTGAGACAGTGAATATTTGGCTTTAAAAGTACACACGCTTCATGGTCGAGGTCACATGTGAATTAGCCTCTCTTTATCGCGGCAGAGGCCTTGCATGAGAATTAGCCTAAGTCTCTTTCCAAGATCAGCCCGTTCCTCAAGGGACTCACGAGACAGAGACTTCAATGGGAGCTTTTCATTTAGCAGAAAGCGCCGGCTCACGGAGCAGTATCCTCCGACGGGAGACAGTGGGACTGCAACGTCGAAGACAGATCGTTCAAATGAAATGATGTGATGCTCGACGAAGAACGTTGGTATCAAAGCCGTGTTGAAACAGACGAAACGTTCAAATGGTAAATGGTGGGAGTTTCTGTTTCTTACCGTTGTCACATGGCCAACTTCAAAGTGTAGTACGATACGCATGTGAGTATGTAGAACACTCACTAAAATAAAATGATAAGACACAATAAAGTTCATTATTGACCATTGACCAGACTTCACTCAAGGTCCAAACTTGTTCTACGCAGCACAAATTCCTGAAGTTTTTACCCTTTTGACCTGCAGTGGACACGGTTTACTGCAACATATTAGTTGGCACTTCTGTACCCTCAGGCAGGAGCCACCAGACTGAAAAACTCTATTTTCCCCACTGCCATTAGAGCCATCAACAGCTGAGAGGACTCTATAACCTAATTCACAACTGGTCTGCACTTTAGCTTGTTAGAATTTCACTCAGCGTGGTTACATGGATTCGAATAACTGGCTTAGTCGGACTGAAATCGAATTATCCGTTTCAACACCTTTGTCCGACTATGTGCGGTCCGACTACGATCCGACTAACACCCCTGGATAACTCGATCCGATCCAGTTGATAGTGCGACTATTGCGGCATGTAGCGGTGAATCGGATGACGAACTGGACTTTGCGTCTTTGCGCATGCTTGAGATCCCGACGGCGTCTTCTCTCAGCCGATAGGGCCATTCGCATTCGCTGTACTCCTATTAACATCATACACATATAGTAAAGGGATGTAGCTTCACCTTGCTCTCCGCTCGCCATCTTTCTCGTAATGTTGATGTTGTTGTTGTTGGTAGTGGTGAAGCGGTCAAGCGGAAATGGCTGTATCACAACTAGTAATGAAAACATCGCCACCTATCGTATCGGACATGACATGCTTTTGGCCAATGATTTGATTTATTCACTGCCATGTATATTGGGATAATAGCACTTTCCCCGAAAGATAGCATAGTCCGACTAAGCAAAGATTCGAATTATACCATCATGTAAACACACTGACTTACTGTTACTGTACTGTTAATTTATATTGCACTCATTTCAAAAGGCAAGCACAATAATTTCAATACACAGGGCGTGTGTAAATGACAATAAAAATCTTTGAATCTTTGAATCTAGTTAACCAATTGGCCGTTGAAGTTGAATGACAATTATTTGTCAAATAAATACCTATTTTCCTAGTGAAACACTTATAAGCACACAAGATCTCATCTGATGATTAAATCAACTAAATTGGTAGAAATTGCATGAGCGTTGGTTTGACTGGTACTGTATATGCGAGTCGACATCCTTTGCGTGTCACACAGCATGGACACAAATTAAAATACCGAATGTCCCTAATAAGATATTCAAGGCTTTAGTGGAGCGAGTGCATGAACGCGAGCCTTTAATCTAAACGGCTCCCCACTGGGATGCAGGACTTGCCTGTTGATTAAACATATGCAGATTGGCCGGTAAATAACCATGATGATAATCTAAGTAGAGGGCATGTCGAGGGAAAGCTATCACTCATATCAAAATATATGTGATTGTCAAACAAAAAGGGTCTGTTAGGTATGTGAACTGATTAATGAGTCGGTGAATGGGCCGTTGATCAGCGGCCAAGTAGCCTTCAAATGTCAATTCATCAGGTCCAGGAGAAACTGATACGTGGGGAAACAAAGAAAGGCGTTGGCGAGGTCATCATCTTAATCATCTTCTATTCAAACCCAAGTGAGGTCATCAGAGGCACACGGTGCCACTCGCTCCCGAAAGCCAATGGAGCCAACTGCCATCAGGCGCGGCCGAGACGCGTCAGGGTTTTAATGGCAGTGAATGACGCTAAACGCTGTGATTATAGCACTAAGTTCTTCTAATGCTGGAGGGCTTCCACCCGGCCAAGAGCTGAGGCTCAAAGGGGGGGCGGCGGGGGGGGGGGGGGGACTGGGGATCCCGACAGGCTGTGAGCATCAGCTTTTCTTACAGCCGGCCCACGAAATCCTTGAGTTAAGACAGGTAATAACATAACAAGTGGTTTGCACAACAAGTCCCCTCGCCCCTGACATTTGCTGCAGTTTATAACACCTCAACGCTCAAAGAAGGTAGCGGGATTCTAAAAGCGGAGGTGATTAAGAAGAAGGCCCCCCAGTTCCATCTGTGACATCACAACGTGTCAACCTTCAGGTCTGCAGCCTCCAGCAGACCCCGATTTAACGTCCACCTCTCTGATATAAACATGAACCATTTCAAGAGAGTGTTTGAGGGAGCTGAAGGCCGGGCGACGATCCCGTTTGACCCACATTTTTTCCCCCCCGTTCTTCCCAGAGCTCAAATTTCGCCATGGCTGTGCTTCCATTTAGGCCTCGACTCACTGACTGAGGAAGTTCTCCTCGTCGGCCACGATAATCGCCCCGGTAACAACGCTTTGGCGCACCGGAGAACGCGGTCAACAGATTGCCGAGGGAAGCTTTAGCCGACCCGTCAACACAAACACCTTTTCCTCCTCCTGCTGACTGACCCCCGAGGCGTTTCACCGCCTGGAGGGTCCTTCAGCAAACACCAGGAATGTGCAACTCCCAGGTAACATAATTGCTGACAGACGCTTTAATGATGTGACAGATGTTGGAAGAGGGAGCTCGCATGCTGGGTACTTGAGAGCTTCAGCAGCGGGCGGCGTTGGGGGGCATAAAAACCATAATTTGACTGCAGGTGTCTGCTGGATGGACATAAGCTGCTGAATGAGAAGATGAAGGGGCACTAAATGATTAGGTTATCTTGTGTGGGTGTTTTTCGTCTGGGGGGGGGCCCTAAATGGAGGTTTGATGCATGTGGCAAAAAGTTGGTGGCTCAGAACTTTGATGAGTCAGGGAGACATTTTAGTGCAGATGTTCCAGCTGCAACTTTGATAAGAGTTAAAAAGACGTCACTTGCAAACCCCACTTTTTGTATTCGAGCAGTTCACGTAACAGACGCGTATCTCTTATACCCCTTTGCCCCTTAACAACAAAGGACAGACGTGCTGGACAAACACAGGTCCCACTCACACACGCGCGCGCGCGCACAGCTGTCCCGTCCCGGAACGTCGAAGCGTGGAGGGGGAACAAAGAGAAGACAGATGGGAACATTTTGGCGTTTCTTTTTTCTTTTCTCCTCTTACCAAAACGGTTGCGAATCTTTCCTCCAGCTCGCCGGGCTCGGGCATGGGGAGCTTCAGAGGCATGTTGTGTCCTCTGAAGTCAGCGTGCTGGTCCATGCTCCCCGCGTTCCCCATGTTGTCCTCGTTCACCAACAAGCACCAACTTTTCTCCTCCTCTCCGTGTCTAGTTATCTCCTTCTACCTCCCTCGCTCGCCCTCTCTCTCTCTCTCTCCCTCCCGGCTGAGAAAAATTTCCGCACGACAAAAGAAAAAGTTTAAAGTTTTAAAAAAAATAGTCCCTCTGGTTCTTTCTCGCTTGCAAACTGCCCTTTGCCAGGTTTGTGTGGCGAGTGACTTCTTCAGCAGGAGCACATGTGAAGCGTGAGGAGGAGGCGGCGGCGGCGGCGCACGAGCCTCTTCTGGGGCATTTCCACGCGGGGAGGAGACCGGGGAGAACTGGACCTCTCTCCGCTCTTATCCGTATCTTGCACAATTCAGGCTCCGCTCCCGGCCGGTAGTAGTGACGACGGCCATGATTCACGCTTATTGCACCCCCCCTCCACACGCACGCGCACACACGCACCGCGGATGTTAGTGAGTTGGCTTCGGTAATCCCCGAAAGGAGGGGGGCTCTTTTAAACACGCACTCCCATCCCTCTCCACAATGAGTTCTTTCAGGGGAAAGCCTCCCTCTTCTTCTTCCTCTTCTTCCTCTTCTTCTTGGGGCGTCGCTCCCAAAGCCGGAGCTAAATAGATGATATGTTTTCGGTGTTGCATTGTGGCACTTTGAGTCCCTCGTGAGAGACAATTAAATTGAGGGAATATAGAGTTGATAACAGGGGTGATGAGTTGATTAATTATTTTACTCGTGCCCCCCCAATGATTGAGCTACCCTTGACTATGGGGCCACCGGGTGGACTAATCTATTAACACAACAACAATGTGAGATGTGGACATTGTTGTTGTGTTGTGAAGGTTGAAAAACTGGACTCTTCATCCCTCCATTCATGTTTTCATGGCAGAAAGTTGGACTTTGCTCAGGCAGGAAAAGCACAGGTGTAACTAATAATGATTAATTGTGCCAGTGGCTCACTGTACATTACCAAGATCCTGGAACTGGCACACCTGCGTTTGCACTGAGTAACTACGAGGCTGCTGGAGTTTGTCTGCAGGCTACTGGAGTTTAGCTTCATGTGTCTTAAAAACAGCACAGTTAACATTTGTATCCTGGGGCAAAGCACGGAAAGCAACTGATACGGGCTTTAGTCCTGCGGATACAGATATCCCCCCCTTGTTTTCTTTTCTATTGTGTGTATGTTCTTGTCTGGATTGTGGCGAGCTGACTAGATCAAGTTGTATTGAATTGAATAACTGCAACGCTGTTAGTGTGAGCGTGGCTGCATTAATAATCCCGGGGAATTTCATTTTGTTGAGACGTGAGACGCGTTCAGTGACACATGAAGAAACATGTTTTATTTATTTAATCTATTTTCCAAGAATTTAATTCTACGCTGAGGACGCTGAGGGGGAATCTGTGATTAGTTTAACCTTTCCTGTCTCCTACTCTTGTCTCCTCAGCCAATATCCACAGGACAAAGCCTCGAGCAGATACAGACAGGCCTTCTGTCCAGATTCCATCTGAGGATTTATGACTTTTAAATATATAGAGTAAGAGTAATGCGCCTTTTCTGTTATGACATTAAAACTACAGTTGTTTTCGTCCAAATTTCCATTGTAAAAAAGAAAGTGACACATCTTCCAGGATCTCTACTAAACTCTAGAAAAACTTGCGGATTTACAAATTGTACAACAACAATTCTGTGAAACGTTTATGCTGCCCGAAGATCTCTACATGCTCTGGAGGGGAATCGTATCTGCCGACAGGGTGGGGACGGCATTACGCACAAAGAGGGTGACATCAGCATGCAGAGCTCTGGAGACAATCCAGAGGTTCTCCAGATGCACAGTGCTTTCATTCAGGCTGCTGGACGGACTCAACCAGGGAGGGTGTCACATCTGACGACGCTGGCTCGACACATTGAGAATGCAAAAGGCGGCTGACTGACGTCATAGGATCATTATGCGTTCCAAGTTAAGCTGATTTTCTCTGTCTGAAGACCCGTCCTCTTGTGTTGATTAGTGTATGCACCTACAACATGTTTATGCACTCATTGGATTTTCTTGCCTTTACAGACGTGCAGCAAATGAGCTTCAATGAAGACAGATTATGTGGAATGTATTGTTAAACTATTATTCAATTCGAGTGAAAAAATCAAATAGAATCAACTTAATAAGTAATGCGTATAATGTGTGTATACTTAATGACATCATATGTGTCCATGTTATTAATGTATTTTAAGCAGCTGGAGTGTAATTTAAGATTTTGTTTCATCGTGTGTTTTAATTTGTTACAGACGACAGCATTAGTGTTGAATGTTGACAACAATAATACGACAAATAATGGGTAACGGATCATGAGATAAGGAAGAAACTGGGCTCGGGAGTAAGCACGGGGGGCCTATTAACCCCCTGTGGCACCCCCACTCTGAGCACGTGTACAGGATTCCTGCGATGGATTATTACATGGCCCCATATTCGCTGATCTCTAATCTCATTAAGTACAATTTAATTAGTTTTTGACACATCAGCCATTTGGAATATAAGGCCCAGATTAAGGCTCTTATTTGATCGGTTTGAAATCTGCTTTTGAGACGGTGGGGGTCCGGGGCCCGCCTGGTAATAAGACGCGTTAACAAAGTTTAATTCACCAGCATATTTTTCATCTTACAATTGCATCTTTCATGCACAGATGCCTATATTCGTTATTCATATCAACATGACCCTTTGTCTCTCACACAACAATATTTCCCTCTTATTAACTGTGTAGTTGGGAGTCAATAATCCACCTATTATCTTGTCACAATAATAAACAAACCATCCTCACTGTATTCTGACAGCTGGCCCCGTGCATGACACAAGATCGACTACGAATGGGCTTTAAAACAATAACGATAACACAAAGCTTCTCTCCGTTATCTGCAGTGAAAACACAATTGAGGATACGTGGTTCCTGACACAGCTGATGGTGACTCGCAGCCCCACAGAACAGCAGCATGCCCTGACTTTATAAAACATGCGCTGCACTCAATGAGTGTTTGGGTGGAGGGGGGCATCTTTCAGCTGCAGCTCCGTCCCGGGACGTCTTGGGGAATACGAGAGACTTCAGACACATCCACAAGGAAATATAAAATGCAAAGATGCTGCCAGAAATAAAAGGCAGGACAATGAAACCACTGTGTGAGGAGGGATTGGGGGGAGGGGGGGCGGCTCACAGGGAGTTCATTCGGCTGATCGGTTAAGTAACATCTGTGAAATGAAGTTCTCTTGAGCAAAAGACACCGCATGGAGTTATGGCCCTCACAAAGCTGGAGTGGAGCAACACATGTGTCTTTGTGTTTTAATTAAGGGCTGGAGACTTCAGGGATTCAAACAAGCAGAGATACTGAGGCTTAAGTACTACGCCCTCTAGTGTCTGGAGGATAATGCCGCTGGACAACAGACAGTTACAACTCAGTTCTTTCTTTGGAATAACACAAATAAGGGATTCTTCAATTAGAAGTTTATTTCATAGAACCTGAAATGATTTATTTCAAGGAAAAGAATAACTTCGTTTCGTCAATAGCATTTATCAAGAGGCAAGTTTATTTGCACCAATTATATTAATCAAACCAACATTCAGAAAAGGACAATTCCATGTAGTCAGCCCTTTAATACCTGTATGTTTATTTACACCAAAAGAACAGTGCCCTGCATTATGCGGCGCAGCATGGCTAGAAGATTAATCGAATGGCACACAAATAGAAGGCATATAATGCAAGAGGCAGAGTATCAAACTATATTTATTGTATACAGTATAGGGACAACAAATAATGTACAAATCCCAAAACAAAAACTGTGGGGGGGGGGGGATCTGCTGATGTCACCCTGCCAATCTAACTAATGAGGACACAAAAATTAAGGACATTCTTATAAAACAAGATTTCTACTTACCAACACACAAGAGTCAAACAAACTAAAAATGTTTGGGTAGATGTTGGACAAATGTATTCAAATTGGCAACACAACATTGACTCTATATATATTTATACACGGAGTGAAATATATAACGACTGGTGGGAGATTCTATTTCTGGACTGGTTATGGTGAATTATTTTATCCTGTAAAAAGGTGGAAAGAATCACACAAGAGTACTTCTTTGCTGTGTGACCACGTCACATCTACAGATTATGCATTAAGCAAACGCTTTTGTAAAATAACTATTCATTTAGCTTTTTGTCCAGAAACATGACTGTACTATAGTTACCAATGAGTCAAGGGTGACCGCATGAGGTACACATCCATAGGAATCGCAGCACAAACCATTTTTCTTCTTGGCTATGTATACCTCAAATTATTTTGAAAGATCCTTAAAAAAAAAAAAAAAAAAAAAAAAAAAAACTAAGAAAGGGTATTACTTCAGAAAGTTGTCATTATCTATTCAATCTAGAGAGACACCACAGGCTGCCAGCCATCACTTTTCCACAAAGTACATGAATTAAAAATGGTTTGAGCCCACCCTGAATTTGAAAGCTCACAACATTTGGGAAAAGTTGAACACAAAGAGGAGAAAAAAAAAAAGAGGGAAAGATTTTGGCATGTAGTTCAGCTTATTGTGTATGAGATGCATCTGGTCAAACATAAAAATAATGTAGTGGGTTATTTGTTTTCTTCATTGCAAGCCATTGCTATCTGAGACGTGTCCCTGCCGTGGACAATTTAAAGCATCCATTTATGTGAATAAAACACTTTTAAAAAAATTACCCTGCATCGCGAAGTTTGGATGTGGCGCCAAATAAAGAACCTTCTTCAATTCTAAAGAGCCTGACCGAGCACAGTGGAGAGAGGGCGGGGGGGGGGGGGGGAAGGGTTGAGAGAAAACAAACACAACAGGAAAATAATGTGGATGTTCTTCCAAGAGTCCACATCCGACTTAAGAGACGCCTCCTGTCTGTTGTTGAAATACATCAATAGTGTCCTCATCCTCCATTTCCAGCTGAAACAATCAAAACGTATATTATTCTACAGAAAACATTTTTACCCTCAGAGTAGAGCTGGTATAGAGCATTCAATACCGACAGCACAGTGCCATAAGCACCCATGGAATGTTCTCGTGAGCGCCCTGCTACAAATCAATATTTTAGACACAATGTAATCTTTGTTTCTAATTTGATATACATTAAAAAATCAAAAGTGTTGAAGAAAATGATTGAGTCTGTGTCACTACCAAAACTCTGGTGTACTTGTACGATCTTGGGCAAATATACATTTCTAACAAACCTTAAATTGACAACCTTGTTTAAAGTGGGTTTTACACATTTTCACCGCTTTCCAACAAATATGGCATCCAGACCATCAACTTAAAAGTATTTCTGTTGCCAACTACATGTTCTTTTAAACAAGTGTGAGCTCAGCATCCAAACCAATTTGCAGGAGTTTGACAAAAAAAACCTATGTGCTTTCTTGTCAAAGTTGTCTCTTAATGGCCAACATTCAGCCTCAGTCGGTTGAAATTAAACAAAATCCCCTACTAGTGCTGTTAAAGCTCACCAATGAAAACTTGCATATACACACATGAAAATGTCAAAATGATTTGAGGTGCGTTATATTTCTACGCTCCAAAGCTCAAGAGGAGTAATAGCGCACACCCATATGACCAGTTTGCAGTGTACAAAAAGGTACAGGATAAGAAACATTACCCACTTGAGGCATGAAATAGGAAACAACAAGTCTGACCAATAAAAATCACTGAGTTACCAACCTGTGAAGGCGTGTCCGTTTCATTAATGGGCTGTCCATCAAACCTAAAACGTATCTGACGAATTGACAGTCCCTGTGAAAGACACGGCAGGCAGAAATAACATGAGACTTTGAACAGAGTTAGATAGCAATAAAAGGGATTATTTGTTCAAAGTCAAAAGTCTATCGTTATCGTAGGAAAATACAGGCTTAGGTTGCAGTCACTGCAGTTTTCAGAATCACGTTACCTGTCTTTCGCAGTATGCTTTCATTAGTTTGCTGAGTGGAGTGTGCCTTTTGATTTTGAACTGTACAACTGAGCCATCCTGACCAGCCACCTTGAGGTTAATGTGGTCGTTTTCTGTCTTCACTCCCTCCTGCAACGAAAACACTCATCAGCGGAAGCGACACCCAGCGTCAAAACAATGTTATTTGCATACGTTTGAAGTCAAAGTTAGATAATAAAAAATAAAAAAAGGTAGCTTGTTGCAAGTACAAGAAAGTGCACGACGTTACATATTAATCAGACATCAAGTTGTACAAGTGAGGTGGCCAATCAGGGAGAGGACGATCAGACAGTGTGCAGGATGTAGCCGGCTCCTTCCGGAGAGGCCTGGTCCCACAGCGGCGATGCGAGCGAAAGCGGACTCTCATACGGCAAATATGTCACGACTGCAAACAAGTCCGTCCAGCTGGCGGAACGATATCCCCCCCCCCCCCGCTTACAAAATTTAATACATTAATCGTTGTGCTCTCAACATCCGAAGTCACAAAAAAAGCAACCACACACCAGGCCACCCCGATCCGTTAATCTGACCCGAGTTTATCTGGAACACCAGTGGCCGGCAGAATGACGTCCATCTGCAGCTAACGGCTAGCTTAACCAGCCAGCTAACGCCAGTTAGCCACCTTAACGCAGGCTGAGAAAGACACGATTAGTCCGCGGGGCGGGCTTCGCCGTGTAAAACACACCGCGCACTCCTTTGGGGGTTCGCCAGGTGGCTAGCATAGCAAGCTAAGCCGTGTTCAAACTGGCGCAGAAAGCCACAATGGCGCAAATGAATGGCAAAACATAAATCGAGCATTTCAATTGAAAATCTCTGATGCCGACGTTAGCAACGGTTTCTTAATTCAAAAGTCAACAAAGTGGGAGCATAACAGTAGCGATGCTTGTTTTCGTGCGAGTCTGCAAAACGCAAAACTATGCGTCGAAAAAGAAAAAGATAACAACCTTTGTTTTCTCCGCCGACCCGCTCAAAATGCGGTAACTGTAGCCTGGAAGCACGGCTAGCTTAGCAGAACATGCTAGCAGACATTAACTTGCAGTTAGCATCATTAGCGACTGACGGCTACCGTGTAAAAATGTTGCCTCGAATGAACTCAGTAACATTACTGACCTTTGGCTTTTCTTCAGACATTGCGCTATTCTTTTCGGGGTTTAGTAATAACGCAGAGACAGACTGTTTGCGGCGAAGACGGGTTATCGGTTTCTCCGGCGTTTCGCTTGAAACAGGAGCGCGCACAGAAATTTAAAATACAATTCGACGAAATTGGTCACGTGGTCCACCTTTCCTCGGGGGCGCGGATACGTGAACGCGCAAGCTAATTTGCGCATGCCCGAGACCTAGGTGAAACAAAAGGGCCGCTTGGCAAAGCCAGGCTCGAGTAGAGACCAGCGGCCGCCGTGAACATTGAACGGAAGTCACAGTGAGAATTATGAACCACAACAAAACAACCAAGTCAATTAAATTAGAAAAAAGCAAGTTGTTTCTTTGTAATTTTATATTCCATATTGTCACAACTAGTCCCTCAGTTACTTATAAAACATTACTCATACGTTGTAGACATGGGCTGAAATTTTTTGGGGGATTTACATTCATAGCAGGATATAAGACTATTATATTTTTCTATGAAATATTTGAAGGGGAAACTATACTGAGAAACTGTTGCATGCATTGAGTCACTCCTTTTCTGGTAGGGGGTCGATCAAGGAGGATTAGGTGGAAGCACACAGATAACATTGATTTAATCATGAGAATAATCTTCCCATAGTCTCTTAATTCCAAAAAGCTTCTTTGTCCTCACCTGTTTCTATGTGTGTTTTGGGAGGAGTAGGGATTGAGGTCAATGGGGAAATTGTAAATTTATGAACTAAAGTCACAAAAATCGATTTCATTTCAATTTATTTTTACAAAAGCGGCAACAAAATACTTCTTTCACATTTAGTTACATTTGTTTTATCCAGGAAAGTTCTTAAACAAATTCTGAAGGCAAAAGGTGTTAAATTAGTTACATGTGACAAATGAGCTTTTTATATAAAAATAAATGATGTCCTTGAGACATGAATTAAAATCAGTAAAATAGTGTGTGTCATAATATAGTATGACAACAATACTGCAAGTTTTAACAGAAGCACCACAAGCTCTTATCCACTCTTGAGTTATATACATCTAGAAACAGTGCATTTTATGGTAAATTAAACAAATGTTTGTGTATCATGGTGGAAATTTTGTTTTGACTGATTTGCCACATCTATGTTTCTTGTGTTGACAGAAAAAAAGTTAACTGAACACATTGTAATATAATAATTTATACAGAATTATGAATCTGGTACAACAACAGAGAACAACGTGTATATAATATAAAACATTAGGTGAACAGAACATTTTTACATGTATAGTGCACAAACTAATTTCAGAACATATTGGTGTTTTTTGCAGGCATGAAATCAAATAATCTGTTTCTTATATGCTACATATGTATTCAATGTCACTGGCATCAGTAAAATCTCCTTAAGCAATTTACTTATGGCATCATGGTGAAAATCCTTCTCACGGATTGTTCATTCGGGCGTATGGATTATCCTTTGCTATACCTGTACGAAACAAAGAAGAACAAATCTTATAACCCATTGTATGGCTACAAGCAGGGCAAGCGTGTGGTACTGGAGTATGAATTAAAAATATCCAATTATTTCACTGGCTCCATGCATTTACATAGTGGGTTCAAAACAAGTAAATTACTTGTCTTCAAAAACCAATAAGCATCTGACTTGTATCAGCTTTTTTCAGTAGATGGCGCTACTTGATCAAAATTGTTCTTTTTATTTAGACTCTGTTTATGAAGACTTTTGAGGATTTGTTCCTAAATTCCTCAGCTCAGAATCCATTACCCTAATCTTATTTTGTCAATCTTATTGTTTCATTTCCCGTTATGCATTCATTTTGCAACTCTTTTATTGAGCATGCAAGCAAAGCTTTTGGAAAAAAAGTATATTTGATATTCCAGCTTTTACATCCCACTCAAAACACACAACCAAGCTATTGGTCTCACCGTATTTCTGCCTGATTTCATCGTGTCTCAGCTGCATTTCTGTTCTCCTGGGAAAAACAAAGACAAGTTGTTGGACAGCAGAGAACACTGGACACACTCAGGCCTACAGGGTTTGTACTGCTGTAATATACCGACGGTTGTAAATATCCCCAACAGTTTCTTACTTCACATTCTGACGGCTCTTCCTCGCACGGGTTTGCCGCTCCACTTTAGCGTCTTCTCTCTTACTCCTAGAACATACAGTTTTATAATAATTCATGATTTTCTTCTAGCCACATACAACATTAGAAAAATATAATATATATATATATTATTGTTATATTCCCACATATTTTAGAAGAGACTCGACTACGGCTAAATAATAAGATCACTGGTGTGATTTTACCAGCTGAGCTGCAGTTAAATATTCTGTCAGGCCTTTGGAGACGGCGGTCTCAGCCCGGGGGCGAACAAAAACAACCCTTTGTGTTCCCCGTCCTCCTCCTTCCATCCTAAACCAGACATTTCACAGCCAACGCCACGTGATTCGAGTCTCACCCGATTCTTTCACACTTGCAGCAGCAGCAGCAGCAAACGAGAATGGCGATAACGAAGACGCCACCCAGCACTGACATGGTGATGATCAGAATCTGGAAGTTCACTGGAAATAAAAAGGAAGACAAAGAGGGAATAAAAAACGCTACAGAAAATCACTCAATGACGAGCGCTGCGTAATATTGCAAATCCTATTAAATAGACACTTCTACCCCTTTACATTTTAAAGACTGGTAGATTTATTTGTAAAGACTTGTGTTGAAATAGGTTTTTGGATATTCACTTTACTATCAAGTAAGAAAGCAGCAGCACATCATTACTAATTGGAATATGTACAATATTGGAAATGTTGTCAAAAGGAACGTCAAACAAACCAAGATGTGAGAGCTAAAAACTAGTCAGTCTTACCCCAACACAAGCCCCATCGTGCGTCATTCAATGGACACACACTGCTGGGGGGCAGGATGTTCCTCACTGGATAGTCGATGCATTGTTTGCTGGGTGCGCACCACAAGCACTGCAACGAAAACAGCAGCAAGAACTGGGTTCAGTGTCGTTATTTACAGTAATACACCAATTACAAGGATGAAACCAGTTACAGTATTTGACTTACGGTCACATTCCGCAGGCATTCAGCACAACTGGTGTTGGACCTCAAGGCACAAGGAGCTGAAACGTTGTAAAAAAAATAACAGTGTTATATTATTATATGGCATATTTGCCTCCTTTGTATTTCATAGGATCAAGCTGTTAACTTGATGGCCACAGTAACAAATCCTCAATAGAGTTCAAATGAACTTTTCTGTAGTCATGTGACCACCTCCTGACCTGACGTTTACTGGCGACACGAACACAAAACTACAGATGGAGCTGATTTAAGAACAAACGCACAGACTTACTCGGAGCTGGAGAAGAAGTCGGCGTTTGCGCCTTTGTGGTCGTTAAAACGAAGGCAAGAACAAAGAGGGAAGCTCTGTAAAGTCCGGCCATGGTGAGACGAGGAGCGAGCCGCAGACTGCGGGGAGGAACCGCTCAAACTAACGTTAACGTTGACGTTACTGGGAGGGGCGGAGGGGTGCGGCGTGACGTCACGGACGCATGACGCTGGTGTCACGAGAGAAGCGGGAAACATCTCAGCCCCAGATAGGTGGTTGGAGAGAGGCCGCTTCAACGTGTTGTATTCAAAAATAAATAAAGTATCCTTTAATGATTTACTGATTATATAGACATATTTATTTTAGCCTTTAATAAACAGTTGTTCCTCTTGCAGTGAGACACACTGCTTAGTCGGGGAATTACTGACAAGTAGTTGTGAAATCTCTTGTTTTGTTTTATAGCTGACTATGAACTTTTGCAGACAGCCGTTAACATCAGAGGACTCTGGACTTTTATTAATGTTCCTTTTTAACTTTTTTTTGACAGACTTGATGGCTTGTTGGAAAAGTTCATCCAAACCCCTTTTTATATAATTGTTTTTTTTTTACCAGATGGCTAAAACATTTTTTTTTAAAGGTTCCTTTTCAATCACCTGGGAGTTTTTCCATCCTTTGCAATTCATCCAGATCATTTTAGTTCGCAGTAAATTAAAAACAAGAGCCCCGATATTCAATATCCAGTCCCTTTCAACATATTCGTGTAGCACGCAGACTCTAAAAGGATTCACTGTAACCATGTCAGATGAGTTCTCCACAGACAGTTTAGGTAACTCAAAGAAAGCTTAATCAGGTGTGTTTGACTGAAAAGTCAATTTTTTCCCCTCTGAGACATGGCAATGAGACAGTAATAACAAACACCAACAACCTTTTCAAATACAATAATTTATTAGAGCATCTTTAAATTCTGATATAAAACATTTTCAGATTTTCCGTCCGCAAAACAATCTGAAATCTCCGAAATACAGTCATCGTCAAATGGCAAGATCAGTCTCTGGTGTGGCCGCCGGCAGCTGACCAGATCGCCTAAGTGAGTACGATTGGAGAGCGATGGAAGACAGTGATGCGAAGTGAGGTAAATGCTAAGCTCAATACGTTTGGATCATACTCTTATCATGAACTATACGGCCTGTAAGTCAACTGGCGTAGGCATCCTTTGTGTTTGTTTACATCAACTAAGGGAAATGAGTTCAGTGTCGAGGGCAACACACTTATTTTGTGTTGACAAATGCTCAGAAACGGCACAAAATTGAGAAGATCAATAGTTATCCATGAACACACTTTCTGAATCTACATTTATGTGTCAAAAAATGCAAAAGAATATTAGAAAATCCAAAGTATAAGGACAACTGCATCAATACTTTTCCAGCACTTTTTTTTTCCCAATCCATTGATACTTAAATGAATAAATACCCCACCCGTCAAGGCCTTTGACATCACTGAGAAAAACACACTCTTTATACACAGACACACTGAACAACACTATCCCACTTGTTTCTAAAAACACAACCTTGCACATCAGTTTGAGCTGCACACACTCAAGTCACAATACACGTTCTAGATGACACAGCTCAACGAAAAGTTTGTTTTAGAAGAGAACTATATTCTGGTTGGATTGATTTTTAGTAATCATGCATTTTGAGGAAATACTTGACTGCGTTGGTCATTGACAATGCATCTCCACTGATGCAGTGGTTATTCATGTTGAATTTTCTTTTTTAAAAGGTAGGGAAACACGTGTGTAGCAAATACACCAGTGGAGGCCATGATTACCACTGACCAATATACTCAACACCTCCAAATGTATGAACCATCCCTGGAAGGCATACACACTTAATATTTTAATCCAGAATATCTCAAATAAAAATCTTAAATAAGGCAAGAGGAGGTGTATCTCCCTTGGACAGTTGCAGTATATTACACAGAAACCTGAGGGAATCTCCATGAAGGAGAACATTCATTACGGGGCACAACATCTGCAGGAGAAACACTTGGTGACAAAAGATGACAACTGGTTTGGTTGTCACTGTCACAATATCATATTTCTAGTTTGGGTGCATGTTTAGAGAAAATATACATTTTTAGAAATAAAAAAGTCCTAATTCAGATATTCAATAAATGTCTGAATAAAATTCGGGACAGCGTCTAATTTTCTTGGGTATTTAGCTAAAGAAATCCACAAAAATATGAGAAAAATAGATTTCAAGTAAGATGTGACATACAAGCAGTGTGAGTAATGAATCTGCATGGAGAGCAGCAACAATTTGGACGACTGTGAAGCTTAAAACGGTTCAAATGCTTAATTCCCACTTTTATCCAAAGCAGTAGATCCATTTCCTTGTGTCTTTATTGAAAGGAATCTTTCTGAATGGAGTTTATCTGCGTTGCTAAGTAGCCAGTTAAATGCTATGAAAAACTATCTCTGTGGAGGTGATTTGTTCATTTTGCCATTTATTCATCTCCTCCCCACTCTTGCTTGTTATCTGTCTGGTCTGCTGTAGTCCTGTAAGTCAATCACCGGATCCAGTTGGTTCCATAGCTGGACACGGACTTGACGCTGCAGCGCTTCTTCACGATCATGTTTATGTAGGCTTTCATAATCTTCGTGATCTCTCCAACCTGGCAACGCACAGATGAAACACACATGTCAGCTGACATCCCGTTTTAAACAGACACAGTCTGACACCGACAGCAGAGGCTACGCACCTGCGGCGTTTCAAAGAGCATCTCTCTCTCGTCCACAGTGATCTTGTAGGTGCAGGGCTGCGGAGCGCCAAAGAAAATGATGTGCTCATATGGGAAGGTCTCCAGAGGCTTGGGCTCCCCTCTCTTGTAGACGGACACATTTTCAGCGCTCACGCTCAACCATAGATCGTGAGGGAAGCCGCCTTCTTTGCACTAGAAAGACGCAAAACACAGAGACGTCGTAAACATGGTCCAACGTTTGCTTTGGGCTGGCAACTTGGGACGCAGTGATCTGACCTGCTCCGTCAGTAAAGAAAAGACGCGAAGACCTACCTCCACGTCGAACAGCGTGGATCCATATCCAGGCCACTCCTTGATGACGGTCATGTATCTGAGCATGGCCTGGTGTTGGTCCAGACCACTGAGGCGGGACCATTTCTCCACGATGCTGGCCCTGGTGGAAGACATCTCCTCCTTTATCCACATCTCCAGCATCTGCTCCTCCTCCATGCGCTGCTTCTTCATCGAGCCCGTCTTCAACCCCCGCCGCAGGGTCCCGTCCAGGAAGCTCGTCCTCCGACGCTCCAGCGTCTGGCCCGACCCCGAGGCCCCGCCCACCTTGGTGAACTGAAGGATGCGACTGCGCAGACGTCCCACGGGATAGACGCTTTCCAGGCTCCAGGCGACCTTCGCTTTGTCGCCAAACAGAAACTGCAGGCGTAGGGCGGCCAAGTGCTGCAGGGTCTCCTCGCGGGCGGGGAAGTGGCCCCGGGTCAAACTCTCGTGGGCCTGGAGGGACAGCGTTAAGGGTGGTCATCGTGAGCACGAACTCGAACTGAAAGGAGTCGATAAAGTGCAACAGGATGGGTAAAACGCACCTGCTCGAACATGAATGCAAACTCTACTCCCTCTTTAAGCATGCTCTCCACATCCAGGAAGCAGTAGAGTTTAAAATAGAGTTTCCATTGGCCTTCATCCTCAGCATCCTCACTGCCAGCATGTCTGGTGGAAAAGCCACAAAACCTGTCATTGGCAGATGGGTTTTGGTCTTTTCTCAGCAGCGAGTGTTTACAGGGTAACTTATTTGAATTTACAGTTGCATATAGTGCGTGATTGAGGGTAATCCGTAACATACCTTTCAAATTTAGCCAAAACATCAGCCACAAGAACCCTGCTTTCTACAGCTCTGTCGATGGTGTCGTTGTGTTCAAAGAGTGCAAACATGTTCCTGCTGTCCTCCATAGCCAGACCTCGGATTAGCTTCTCCACCACCTGGACGAAGCGAGCCAAGAAAACCACAGTCACAGTGATATCAGCGTTAGTGTAAATTACCCACAGTGCCATCCTGCAGAGGGATATTCCAAACTGCTCTGTCACCTCTCCAGCGGTGGTGTGTGAGTTAATGGAGATCTTGCAGGAGCCTCCTCCGTGGCAGTACACCGTGGTGGTCATTTCCTGTCTGGTGAGCAGTGCCATGATTTCCTCTTGAGAGGGAACAAACTCTCTGTTCTTGGTCTTCTTCACAGACTCCCCGATGAAATGGGCGAACATTTCAATCTCGGTGCCCGGAAACAGCTCCTTGATCCTGGAATCGCACACAGAGAGACAATAAAATAGAAGTTCCAACCCGCCGTAATCGCCGACCGTAGGATCGGTGCCCAGAAACAGAACGCACCTTTTGATGTGAAACTTGAGGTAGCGCAGGATGCCTCGGCTGGGCAGGAAGGTGCAGCACATGCAGGCCAGGAGATGCCAGTGGGCGCGATTGGCAGGACTGTTTGGGTGCGGGACGTGATTGGTTTGTTTGATCAGCTGACAGTAAACCTCGTCCCTTAATGGCCTCAAGTCTTGACAGGTCTGTAGGATTCCCTGGATGATCGGGACCGGGTCCGACACAGCTTCCATCTCCTGCAGTGAGTTGAAAATCTTCACCGCTTCATCCTGCAGGCTGGTATAACCCTTTTCCTTTTGCACTGGGAAAGACAGACAGAGGGGCTATTTCAAGTCCAGCCAAAACAGTTAAGGTGTTTTTTATCCAGGTAAACATACTAACTTTACTTTTTATCCAGTAATAATAGAATTACATTAGGACATTTTAAATATTGTGCTAAACGGTTCATCTTCCAACAGGACAACGACCCGAAGCACACGCCAAGATAACAAAGGAGTGGCTTCGGGACAACTCTGTGAATGTCCTTGAGTGGCCCAGGTGGAGCCCTGACTTGAACCCGATTGAACATCTCTGGAGAGATCTGAAAATGGCTGTGCACCGACGCTCCCATCCAACCTGATGGAACTTGAGTGGTTCTGCAAAGAAGACAGGGAGAAACTGCCCAGAAATAGGTGTGCCACGCTTGTGGAATCATACCCAAGAAGACTTGAGGCTGTAATTGCTGCCAAAGGTGCTTCAACAAAGTATTGAGCAAAGGCTGTGAATACTTATGTACATGTGATGTTTTCGTTCTTTATTTTTAACCGATCTGCAAACATTTGCAAAAAACAGTTTTCACTTTGTCATTATGGGTTGTTGTGTGTAGAATGTTGGGGAAAATAAGGAATTGAATCCATTTTGGAATAAGGCTGTAACATAACAAAATCAGTGAATACTTTCCAGATGCACTGTAAGTGCATCATTTTAGCTGCAGACCACAACACTCACGAAGGATGCGGACATCTCCATAGGGCAGAGGTAGAAGAGGGGAGTGCAAAGGATGCTGGGTATATCTCAAGATGGGGTTCCTCCAGTATGTCTGCTCCACAGCCTCCACGTTCAAACTGCTCTCCTACGCAGAGAGAAAACTGGCTCAATAAATATGTCATGTTATCTTTACAACAAAGTAAAGCGCCTTAAAAGGAGGCTAAACGCTTCTATTTGAAACACTTTGTCGAGTCAATGCGGGAAGTAGAGATGGTGGATATGAATATCGCAGTAAAGTTACAGGAACAGCTATATGTGAGAAAAAAACAAGCAAAGCAAAATACTTAAAGAAGATCACAGCACACACTCGGTGAGTACAAGTACCTCACTCTACTACAGTGTGTGTCCCTGCCAAAGGTTTGCATGACTGAAAAGAATAAGGGTTCAAATAATATCCATAAGTTAATACTATCTCATGTGCATTACTTAAGTGTGGCACGCTTTTAAATCTCATGGTTTAGACTTTGCACACAGAGCAGTTATTAGCATTAGAGGGAGAAACAGGCAAATGCACCCTTGAATACCTTGATGTCCCTGATGAGTTGCTGTGTTGGCGTTTCAATGGGAACTTTGCTGTCTATCGCTCCCTGTATGGCGTTCGCCCAGCGCATGGCTTCATTCAGCATTTTGGTGTATAGACGGTAGGAGTGTTTACGTCCGTGGACGATTATATTCCAGTAACCTGAGTAAACAAGAAGGAAGGTAAGTAGGAGCTAAACAACCCCAACTTGAGAAACAAGTTAAAAAAAAAAACCCTGAAGGAGCTTAAATTGAAATGTATACTTTTGGTGCCCAAGACAACTGAGAACAACGTTGACCGCGAACTGACCGGTGTCCTTGAAGACCTTCTCGTCTGGCTGGACCACAGAGCAGAGACTGTTGAGGACCAGAGTTCCCAGCTTGGAGGCGGTGCGCTCTGACGACTTGTAATAGTCCAGGGAGTTAGTGGTGAGAACGAACCAGCGCTTCTTCAGCTTGAGAGAAGAGCTTTTGGCTCCCGACTTCATCTCTTTATGTAACCAGCCTGACGGCGATGAACGTGATATTATGGATTATTATTTTAAACGCGCTGTCCGCACAGAATCTCACCTGACATTAATAAAGTCAACCCAGAGGAATCGTAAACATCCCGGACTGTGTGTGTGTGTGTGTGTGTGGACTGACTGACCTCTGACTAAGAACTCCTGCCCGTCCACCTTGCAGTCTCCCTTGGATTTCTGCAACAGGCCGATCCAGTGGTGCATCTCCTCTGGTGTGTTTGTGTTGCAGTGGATCACCCGGTTGGCCGTGATGATCACAAACGAGTTCGGTCTTCCGGACAGAACGCACACGTAGTTACACTGACGCAGGCTTACTACTTAGATTGCGGTTTAAATGTATGTTTGAGGTTCATTAGCCGTTCCTCACCTGTCGGGGTTGTCGGATGCACAAACAGAATCTATCAAGCCCACATCTAGTGTGCCCTGGACAAAGAGAAGAGGGGAGGGGGTCAGAATATGTAAATGTTAGCAGCTGGTCGTCCGTTTGTCTTCAAGGTGAGTTGAGGGCAACAAGCCTCTTTTGTGGCGTGGGATAACAAAAGACAAAAAAAAGTAAATTACAACATGACCTCAATCTGAACCAGCATACTCAGGGTGATTCAGTTACGCGCTTTATCTTTTCTGATGAAAAATAGAGCTGAGGCCGGCGCCCAGGCAGCACCGAGGTAAAACCGCACTAACCACTGCATTCTTTGGGTTGGCCTGTTCGTGGTGCATCTCCATGAGTTGCTCCTGGCTGGCGCTGTGGACCCGACTCAGCACGTTGAACCAACCACTGGATGGGGTCAGAGGGAGTCCAGAAAGTCAGAGTCAGCAACCATATAATTGAAAATTACACCGTGGACTACCACTGGCAACCACAAGGGGGGACTTTATTTCCACACATCACTTTTCACAGAGCCCACCTAAGAAAAAGCAACATCTAGTTAATGCTTCCCATGGTGCTGTGTAATAATGTACCTGGCATCTTCTGGAGACTCTGCATAGATGTGGTAAGTCCTCTCCTCAGTCACAACATTCAGGGCATTTTCCTTCTCATGATTGTCCACTATCTCCCTGCAGACAGAAAAATGATCAGTGGACTGGAGAGTTTTCTGTCCCCTTTGAACAAACGCCACTATTTCTCCTTACTTGGCCGTGCGGATATCGATGGTTCCTTTCAGCTTCTCTTCGCTGTCGTTGTCAAAGTACATGAGCTTCGACTCGCGCAAAACAAACCAGCGCATCTTCCAGTTGCGCCGAGACAAGGTGGACATGCCCCCTCCTTTCTTGTAAAGCCAACCGGATTTGACGGAGTCCTGCTAGGCCCGAAACCACATGAAGGTCTCGTCCTTCAGGACACACCAGCGGCGACGCCACGGGATCATCAGGCCACCTAGAGGAGAGAAGGAGGCGTGAGACGGAAACTATGTTTATATACTAAGGTACCTTGAAACAGCTACTTTTACACACACACACACACACACACACACACACACACACACACACACACACACACACACACACACACACACACACACACACACACATATGCACCCTCTGGAAACGAAACACACAATCATGCAAAACAGCATTAACTACATTTTACACAAAAATTCTGAATATTTTGACAATCTGAGTACTAAAACATAATCATATAAAGCAATCAAGCCTGTTGGACACTGCGTTCAGCTGTGCAGAGGTCGTCTGCACGCCTGCCGGCCAGCGTCTCGGCAGGGCGACTCACTCTTCATGTAGAGGTAGCCGTGGAAGTACGGAGGCCCGCTGCCGTTCAGCACGTTCACTTTCCCATTGGAAACCTCCTCGTCCGTGTCCACGTAGCCGTCGTTGTCCTCATCGCTGTCGATGAACTGAAACACATTCGTCACGTCAGCCGTCACAAGCAACTTACGGGAATTACAATGTAGATGTAAACTGCAGGAAAGGACGACTTGTTTATTGAATTTCTGGCTTCAATAATCAGTGCCCAAAATGTGTCTTGACCTGGTGCTGTTGTAAACACACACACACACGCACACACACACACACACACACACACACACACCCTCCTTCCCCTTTGCCGTTTTGCTGATCAGACAGTGTAAGGTCTGCTTAACTGTGTGGGAATGGATCCACACGCTCATCGGCGGCGCCAAAACAAATAATCGCAACAGCGGTCCAGTGTGATTCTAGCGTGAGCGGAGCCTTTTGATACATTGAGACGAGAGTCAGGCTGGCACACGCGCAGGCCAATGCTTCACGCACGCTGAAGAGTCGCCGCACGGGAGAACTATTATACCCAGAGGAAGACTCGATTTTAACTTCACAGTTTGATCTGACATGCGATGTAGAAAAGCAATTTCTGGGCAAAACGTCCTCAACAGCGATCCTTTCAAACGACTCCCCTTCTGGACAGAAATGATTGCCAGCCCGTTAGTTCTCACCGAGTCCGAGCTGCCTCGGAAGGAGTCCAGGCTGTTTTGCGTACAGGAGGATTTACGCAGCACCTCCTCATCTGTGACGTGGCCCGAGCTCCCGTGGGCCTCCTCGAACTCCTCCTGGTCGTAGTCGGACTCGCCGTCCGGCAGGTTCGGGTGGGGCGCCTCCCCGCTCGCAGGCTCAAAGTCCGACCCCCTGCTGGCTCTGTGGCACGGTGCCATTTCTCCGTTCGTGACTGCGGGGGGAAGAGCAGGAGGTCTGGAGGTCCGGGAGTCTGTGAGAGCAGGGCCACGGCTCAGTCCGTTGGGGGTAAGTGGGGAGAGCTTTGCCGGTGGGGCAGAGGAGGCAGAAGAGGAGGCGGCGACGACGACAAGTCCTTCTGCGAAGGCGGGCGGAGGAGGGGGGATACTTCGGAATACTGCCTTGTCCAGAGGAACTGCGGCCGGAGGCGGGAAGTCAGGTAACGGAACGCACTCCTCCTCGGCGTGGAAGCCCTCGTCCACCTCCTCCTCGGCCAGAGGGGCCGTGGATTCCGCCGGGTCATGGAGGTTCTCCTCGCTGGAGAGGGACGGCTCCAGGCCGCCAAAGTCCAGCAGATCCAGAAACTCGGTGGCCACCCGGGAAGCTTCCTTCTCCAGCCTGTAGATCTCTGCGTCTCTCATCTGCCGCAGCTCCTCGTGGGAGACGTCCCCGAGGAGGGACACGCCGTCCTCCTGCTGCTTCTGCAGACGCTCGATCTCCCTCTCCAGCCGCAGGATCTCCTCCATCTGACGGCTCTCCTCCTCGGAGGTGTGGCTGTGGGACAGAGACTGGGAGAGCTCCTTCTGGAAATGGACAAGGGAAGAGGACGAGACGGAGAGATCAAACTTAATTACTTTGTTGCACCGCGTACAAACCCAATACTGTGTTTCATCATTTGAATAACAGCTTTTTAAAAAGTAATTACCTTCTGACAGACGCCGTTTGCCAGGGAGTGACTAAAAATAGAATAGAAGAAGTGTGCAAAGAAAAGGAATAATTATCTGATCTGAATAAATGCATCGTCCACATGTCACAAAGAGCTGATAACTACCGTTGCTCGTCTGCTTTAGCTGCCATTTCCTGCCCTTCCTCTTCGTCCTCCATCAGTCTCAGTTTCTCTCGCCTCATCGCCTCCTCCTCTTCACCCTGCCTCTTCATCTCCCTTTCCACAAGCCACCGTCTCTCCTCTTCCTCCCTCCGTCTCTCCTCCTCCTGCCGTTTCCTCTCCTCCTCCATCCTCCTCCTCTCCTCCTCTACTCGCTTCCTCTCCTCTTCCTCTTCCGTCCTCCTCCTCTCCTCCTCCTCCTCCTCCCGCTTCTGTTTCTCCTCCCTGAGTTGGCGGAGGAGGGATCGGGCCAGCTGGCCTCGGCGGTGTTTCTGCAGGACGACGGCGGCGAAGCGCAGCCGCAGGAAGACGCGTCTCCAAAAGTGAGCGCGGTAGTTCTTCTGGATTGTGACGACGCAGGACTGAACCCTCTTGTATCGCTTCCTGAGGAGCAAATCAAACGCACCCTTTTCAGTCAAGCAGACGACGTGTGTAATCCGATACCCGTGGGGGTAATACAGCGTGCGTCGTTGCACAACGTCACAGGATGCCACTTAAATAAACACACCGTTAGCGATGAGCTTGGGCTGTTGAATGCACACATATACATGGCAGCGCACACACACACAAATACAAGTGACTAGCGAAAGGACCACACACACTGCTCTGACTCTCTGACTCTCCACAGTAATAACTGTGGCCTCTGACTGGTCTTAGGGCAGAGGTAGTGTTACATATAATAATACAAAGGCTTTGCTTGGGTCTTTGGGGAACCGCCTAGCCGCTCTCTTTAGTTCTCTTTAGTGCCTCTGAATGGAAGGGAACTCACAGCCTGAACAACGTCATCAGTCACATTATACTCTGCCAACGGAGCCTATAGACGACTGTGTGATATGATATGTTGTAGCACGCAGGTGCAATTAACATCCCTGAGGGTGTCTGAAACCGGCTGCTCGGGCTGAAAAGACTGCGATTTATTTTAGCTGCACAAAAGAACGAATGCAAAATCGTCATCCAAACAAAATATTTGAGCCAAAGACTCAGCAGCATTAAATCATCGGGGCAAAGTCTAGATTGTACGTGCATCATTCTATACACACCACTCCAATTGTGTAGGAAAAAAAAATCATTGCACTCAATTAAATTAAATTTACCTAATCAATTTTGTGGATACAAAGTGAAGATATTTCTTGAATTACTTCAGACATTTTGGTGTAAGAGAATTTTTTATCAAACTTTCTCAAACATGTTGCATGACATTTGTGTCTTCATTGGAAACTTCATTTTAATATTCTGTAGGTATAAAACAGATGAGTTTATAATGACTGTCCCATCAGCGAGTCCACAGGTCTTTTTCTGTGTGGAAATAACTAAACATCTTTACTGCACTTTAAAGTCTGGGAAGCCATTTCAGCAATGACACTGTACAACTCCTAACTCACTGTACAACTCCTAAGTCAGCGCGCACACACACACACACACACACACACACACACACACACACACATGCACGCACACAGTCTGTGCACCTCTATTACAAAACCAAACAATGCCAGCTGGGGCTGCCACTCACCCCTCCTCCCCCCCCTCCTCCACCTCCCCACCACTCACCTTGCCACATAGCTGAGGATGTGGGCGCGGATCACCATGCCGGCCCTGCGCCGCACCTCCTCCCTCTCCTTCTCCAGCCTTTGCTCCAGGGCCTCCTTCAGGAACACCTGCGGGACGAGCAGCGCCGCGGGCCGACAGGGGAGGGACAGAGAGACACACAGGGAGGGGGAAGGGGGAAAACAGGATGGGTTAGTTCCTCCTCCAGGTATAAAGGCTGCAGAGGAGGGCCAACAGAGATGTCGTGGTCCTCCCCCTCCCTGTTGTCCTGTTCGGCAGCACCCTTTGCCCGCTGCAGAGGAAGCTGTGGTGCAGTAGAGGCCTAGCCGGCTACCTGCTCTCCCTGACCGCAGGGCTGAGCGGAGGGGGAGGCGGGCACGGGGACTGCAGTGTTGCTGCTAATGGCGCTGCTGCAGAGCCTCATCGTGTTCAGGAGTCCTTCCTGGACATCTCTCCACTGCCGCTGCCGCTGCCACTGCGTTGGAGGCACAACTGATGTGCACAGGCTGAGAGGGAGTGGGGAGAGGTAGGGAGAGGAGGGATGGAGGGAAGAGGGGGAGGGATGGTGGCTGCTGTCCAGCTAGAAAGCCACACCTCTTCTTGTGAAGCAGGGAGAAAAAGTTTAGTTAACCCTTTCCTCACTCCTGGGAGACTTTAACCTGTTTTTTCCCCCCCTTCAAAGTAGGTGCTGTGGGACAAATTACAGCATACCGCTGCTCCTAGAATAAAACACTAAAACGCAGCAATGAACATTGAAAATCTAAAGACTTATGTCTGACCGTGGCTGGGTTTTTGTGATAATGCGATAAATGTTGCTAGGCTGGAGGATCAACTGATGGGGGCTTTCAGTGTGTGTGCCCCAGATGTTCCACTAATCAAAGGATCCCACAGCTGCAGCCCTGCCTGCCTCTGCAAAGTCTGTGAGAGGAGGAAGTTTCCTCTTCGTCCACATCCTTCCCACGTCTGTAATGTCTCGCACACACACACACAGACATCAGTTCATGCAATGTCACCCAAGCCCCTAATTCTGGGCAACACACTTCCTCTTCACACAATACGTATGTATGTAATTACACACAGATTGTTTCTCCAAAGGAAATAGCCCCCATCTGTCTCTGAGCCCCCTTTCCCACAAGCCACATTACCCTATTTTACGCTGCCATCAAAAACACAACCGTGTGGACAGAGGGACAAAGACGCAGTCTTAACTTTAAAAAAGACGACTGTAGTTCTCTTTTTACTTGTATTATTTACAGACTGTAAAATCATCAGCAGTCGCAGCATAAAGGTGCTGACACTGGATGCATAATGCCTGTAATACACAGTGACTGTGGAGATTTATACTACATGCATGTGTGAAAACGTGCAATAAAGACGTTGCTGGTTTCGCTCCGGTTATAAACTCTATAAGAACCAACAGAAACCTTTTTTGGGTCTCGGCGTGTAATTCCCCATGTGTGCCCGCCAAATGGGGTATTACAGCAAACCGGTCCGACAAATTTGAATGTCTCTGTGATTTTACGGCTGCTGGGGAACCACAACTTAGAGCGGGAAGTAGATGTGTGGATTTAGCGGATTTCAAGAAAGCCTGTAAAACTATTTATATTTCCATTTTTGCAGTGTAGAGGGCATGAATGCTGAGTTCAACAAGATGAAAGGTTTTGCTGTCCAGATCCAAATACTCATTAAAGGTTAATCATTCAATGAGAGCGCCGAGTAAGGAAAAAGAAAAAAACTTTGCTTGGGGGAGTAGATGATTGTTTTATATAAATCGGCCAAGAGAGAAACCGAGAGAAGATTAAACTGTGTTGCAACAGATGGAGATCAGAATGCCACAATAACTGTTCAAAATGATGAATGCGTGACTTTCCTCTAACCTCTGCAACGCTTCATCACTGCCTCCAAATCCCCCGCCGGGAGAGTTCAGTTTATTAAATCAACAGCTAGACGAGTGTCAGGAGGCCAACACTCTTCCAGCTACAACAAGGCGGCCTGCGGATTACCGTGAGCCCCCCCTCTCCCCCCCCCGCTGGTTTACAGTTACAGAAACAGTTGTCGGCGTCCAGAGTTTTTAAGGAGTTGCCATGTAACACTGGAGCGCAGGAGAGCAGAAGATTGACCACAACCGGCCAGAAAAAATGTTTGGGTTGTGAGTCACAGTTGGGGCTGTTAAAACTATGGCACACATTAACAGCTTGAGTTCTTGAGGGAAAATCCGGCTCAAAAGACACCAGACTGAACCAATGTGGTGACCGGATTTGCAGCAGGAAGTTGTAGGTGTGTAACTATGACGTAAAAAGATTAAAAACTGTGATTTTGTGCCACTTTTGATATGTTTTTAAAAAGCTTGACTGCAGAGTCCGTCTTACATGAAACAGGGGTTAGCTCTTATATTAATTACATTGTGAGGACAAATCTGTTTATACGTCCTCAGGTTGCCTCGTCTCACATGTTGGAGACAGAAAGCGCAGCCCTCCGATGCAAACACAACATTTTAGAGTCAAGAGTTGGTGTACGGTTGAGATTTAAAGGCCGGGGCTTGGTTTGGGTTGTGGTTATGGTTACCGTATGGAGCCAAATCCAGGTCAAAAGTTTTGTTCCTTTGAAAAACAAATGTGAACCTGAAAGTTCAAGTTTTGTTGTTGAACATTGAAAAATACAACAATGTATTCAAAATAAAAAAAAGTGGACGGAAAATATTTTCGGGATGAATATAGTTTTGACTCAGCTCTATACATTTTTAAAATTAAATATATTGTTTTTCAATCTTCACTTATATATATTTTTTGATATTCACTCTATTATATTTTTCATTTTCAGATTTTATTTTTTCAGATTCAAATCTTATATTTTCAGATTTATTTTGGAAGAAGTCAAAGCAATGTCCTCCTAGATGACAAAAACAAGTTGGGGCATATGCGTGTGTGCGTGCGTGCGTGTGTGTGTGTGGGAGTGTGTGTGCATGTGCTCCACCTTTGTCTTCCCCAGTTGCCACTCTGTCTTGGCTTTGTCGTGAAGTGTGAGGAGCTCAGAGCAGCTCTGCTTCTCTTCGCCTGAGTGGATTTTGTTATTCAGGATAATCTTGTACCTATGGAAACACACACACGCACACGCACGCACGCACGCACGCACACACACACACACACACACACACACACACACACACACACAGAGACAGACCTTTAGATTAACAGAACAGCAGAAGACAAATATTGTGAATTTCAGCACCTACGGGATAGATATTTTTATTCAGATTTTGCGTTTTTTTCCCAGTTAACAGTCACTTAATCGACTTGTCAGCTCTACTCTGTACTGTATTTTCTTGGTATTTTTCTGACCTGCTGTAGAAATCCTGAAAGGTTCTACGGACTGGGAATCCAGCCCTGCGGATCTTCACAGTTTCGAGCATCCCAGAGTATCTCAGCTGGTTGAGGACCACATCAGGAGCAAACTGGTTGGCTTTCTGCAGATGACAAGCGACAAAGCAACATGAAAATGACCAAAATGCCTATTCGTTCCTTTGGAATGATAACGTTCAGTAATACTCAGCTATGCATTGAAAGTCGAGCTGAAAACAGGCCTCATTTAGCAGAGTTGCTGTTTCGTTGAGTATTCCCATGGAAGATATTTGACAGTAAATATAATCCTCCACAGTTGAGCCCACACACCTAAAACAAACCGTTCTTCTGCTGCGTCAGGGTTAACTTGAACTAAAAAGGAAATTACCACGGGGAGCGCTATCATTTTACACGAACAATTAGGTTACTGCGAAGAAAAAAAGGCGATACGCACCATCAGAGAAAAACACAAACAGTGTTAGAAATAATCGGCCCAATTCTTGACAGCCTCGTGTTACAGATAATCCTCGGGTGTGTTAACCAGAAAGGATCGGTGACATCTACACCTCTGCGCGGTCTACCTGACGCCTCACAGGGAGCGCGTGAAGGCCATTGTCCCCTGAAGGGCACACATGGCTGTATAAGCCCCACACAGGACCACAGCATACCCCAAGTGTGTCAATCTAATTACGTGCTAACGCTACTACGCATGGAGCAGAACTTGGATACAAAGGCACGCGTGTATGTCTTCATGATCATAATCCAACAAACACACACGCACATTCACACATAAATGTGCACCACTCTGAGCTGTGAACTCTGTTCTTTAGCAGAGGATTTAGGGAGCTGAAAGAGGTACGGCATGTTGAGCGGTTTTGAGCGAAAACAAGCTGACTCTTCCCTCAGTGACATATAACACAAGTAGGGTGAGTACATGTGGATCACACAAAATACAGTGCGCGTGCTGTCCTGTTTGCGCGCGCGCGCAATCCTGTCATTTCTGCCGGCTTAACAGAGGCACTGTGAATGCAGGGCAGAGCCAGGGGGGAGCAGTGGACGGGGAGAGAGGGGGAGAGAGAAAAGAAGACAGTGTGTGTGTCTTCTTGTGTGCACTGTGTGCAGTTTTAAGGCCAGTACGTCAGCAGGAGGAGAGGCATGGGAGGAGCTGACAGAAGAGGACAGTCAGACATGAATAACTAACAACAATAACACAGATAATGCTGATGGGTCTCTGCGCAGAGAAAACATAAAGAAACGCAATTCGCCTTTTCACCAACCGTCCAATATCAGAAAACTGGATAAGAGTGCTGAGAGCTCTTGCCATTATCTGGTAAAGAGTAGCGGGTAGAAATAGGGGCCCATTAAGTAAACATTCCCCCCCTCTGGTTTCACTACAGTTACGGCACTTGGGTCTTATCTTAGCATTCCACTGATGCAGCCAGATCAGCAGAGCATCAGCCAAGCGGCTGCAGCTGGAGTGGCCAACTGTGACCTACGACCCTCTGGTTGAAGGGATAAAGTGGTAGGAATGCGCTTTTATTTGAGGAAGTACAAATGAGAGTCGTTGCACCAAAGCGCTATCGCTACTATTTATTAGTATAAGAGAATCTGCAGCGAAAAAAAGGAAAAGAATAATTAGTTTTCAAGTGGAAGATTTATATGACTTACGATTAGCTCTGGGCAACGGGAGCTATGAATAGCATCAATAAGATTTAACTTTGCAGGCGCTGACCTTGACAAGACCTGGCGAGGTTTTGCACATGTTTTTTTTTGTGTGCAATGAAATTTGCATGACCTACCTTGTCCATGTTTGGTTTGATGCAGCGAACAAAAAAGGGGTTGGAGGAACTGAGTGTTGCCATCAGGGAATGAAGCGAGTCCTGAAACACATCAGCAACAAGAGGATTAAGATCAACACAGCACATAATCTATGTAATGAAACAGAGTCATTCAAGCCAGTATTTCAATTCAAATATATGACTTAATGATTATGCATGTTGTGCCTGTGCTTTTCACCTTGTAGAGGTTCAAATGTATACAGGCCTGACTTTATTGATTGTTCAGTGCTTTGTGTTAGGGTGATAATTGTAGAAGACAGAATGAGTGATTATTGATCTAGAATAATATCCAAAATGTCAATGTCAACTTAAAAACAGCTTTTTTCACATGTTTTAAGAAAGACTTTCAGGATTCACAAATCCCTCGGTAAGATTTTTGCAGTGGTTGCAAGTTGCAGAACTTTGTCCAACTATTAAAAATGAATACATAAAAAGGTACAGATGAAATCAAATGAATACTTTCTGTCTCTTTACTAATTAAGTCCATATAAATCACAAAACACACACACACACACCGAGGACCCTCGAACCTCGCAGACTCTGTCAGCCTTGCTCTCCTCGCTGCCTCAGACAGCCTGTCTCCAGCGAGGCCCGGCCTGGCACAACCGAGCCTGGTTGGCCCCTGGTTGGCCCCTCTGTGCCCAGCCATCAACCCTAATCCCTTGGCTTTAGGAACCGTAGCCCAGGCAGCCTGCCAAAACCTCCCCTGCTCCTTCTCTCCCCACTGCAGTCAGGACATGCTTAGATAAGCCCTCCACTGCCCCCCCCTCTCCCCTCTCCCCCCGCTCCCTCCACCACCGCAACCACATATTTCATACATCCCATCACCCATCTTTCTCTGCAGATCAAATGCACTGGCTGCATTCTCCCTGGTGCTCACACTCATCATGCCAAGATAAGACAGCCGAGAGCCGACAGGTTAAGTGGTCCAAGCACACGGGACGCTATAAAGCTGTTGTGCGTGCGATGACGCAATCACGTGCCGAACTCGGAGCGACAGACACATCCCCAAGGCTTAAGTCTCACCCTGAACTGAGAGCTGACGGTGGGCTTGCGTCGCGCCGTGCCCATTTTTAAGGTCTCATCGCCGTTCCTTGCTGCCGACGCGCTCGAAGAGGTCGTAGATGAAAGTCAAGCCTGCAGACAACACGGGGTCGCAGAGCAGAAGGCGTGAATGTATGAAACCTGCAGGTGGGAACTGAATCGTGCGGGCGTGTTTGCTCGGCACGTGCCGTGCTCACCTGCTGTCCTTGAGAATGAACAAGATGTCGTCTCTAAAGGTGTCTCGGTTCTTCTCCAGGATCCCACGCACATCGTAAAGCACCTGCAACGGACGTGGAAAGGAAATGTGTCTTTGATGCCAATCAAGCACAGATTGGACACACAAATGAACATAGACAAGCTAATGTGTCTGTATCAATATGCACTTTATTTAGCTTCTACAGGCTCGTGATCCCGACTGGGTTTTCTAATGACAACATTCACCAAGCACACACACACACACACACACACACAGCCAATGCATGTTGTGCACACAGGGGGACGGCCCAGAGGAGAGAATGTGTGTTAATGCAGTCACCTGTTGCAATGCCCTCAGAGTTTGTGTGTGTATTTTATGCCAGAAAATACATGGAGATAACGCAGCACAGAGTGCGATCTTAACACTGAAACATTTGCGTACACGTTTTCCCAGCTGTGTGTGAGTAGTACACTATAATCCAAAAACAACCCCCAGCCGCACATTGCTAAACCTTGTGGCTCACGGAAAGCCACGAGATACGGACTTGACAACACAAGTATTTATAAATGGCACTCCAGTCCCTCCTCACATTGGAATATATTTCAGGTTCAGTCCACTAGGTCGGTGTCATGATGCAACAATGAGACCAGGAAATTTAATTTAATCTTACAAAAAGCCTAAAGATCATAAACCGAATCCGCAACAAGATCTATTTGAGATTCTGTAATCGCAAATGTGTGTCATTTTGACTCCTCAGTTCACAAGCTATGGTGAGTTGTGTTTGTTGTCGGTTAAGTTCGTGTCCAACAAGGAGGACCCCCCCCCCTCCAAGATCCCCGACGCCACGCCGATAATCAAATCTGTGGGAGGACGCTATTATTTCCATGACACAGTTTCGGTAAACAGAAGGAGCTTTCAGAGAGGCCACTGAAATTCCCGGAGAGAGAGAGAGAGAGAGAACAACTGGTTGGCCTGCCTGTCCTCTCTGGACCAAGTCATTACCATAGACGTCCATGGCAGGCCTGTGACCGAGCTCACTGAGGAGACCTTGTCTGAGGAGGGCTTCATGAGGCCTTCCTCCCCACCTCCTACACACACACACACATCCCGCCTGCCCCATTCAATCTCTCTCTCCCTCTCCCTCTTTTACGTTCCCTACCGTCAGGAGTAATCTCCGCTCAAGCAAAGGAAGGCGAGGATGACAGTGCAGCGGTTTCTCCTGACTCAGGGAAAAGCTGCTTTTGGCTCAGAATGCGCTGCTGCCCATCAAATCGCTTCCCCCGACAAACTTGCGGGAGGTAACCTGGATCCCCCCCCCCCCCCCCCGCATCGACGTTTTCATGTGCGTCCGTGCTAATTACCTCTCCGGCGTAGTGCTTGATGCCAAACTGGTGGTCGGTCACTCGGGGTTTGACATAGTACGGGTTTGTCTGAGGAGAAAGGACAAAGAGACCTTTAAGAATGTGCTGTCCGTGTAGTAAATTGCCGGTAATCACATTGAGCAGTAGTACGTAGTTCGCGGGAGTTCAGCTGAGAGGCCGGAACACGTGGGGGCGCGACAGCTGATGGAGATTGCCATCAAATCACCATTTGTGGCGTGAACGTTTATTAACATGAACTGCCTCCTCGGCACTTTTGCTTCCCTAGTTTGAGACAAAAGAAATGTTCATATTTGTTGTTTTATTTAGTCTGTTTTTGTTAATTCAACTAAATATTCTAAATAATGACCTCTGCGTTGATGGAGTCGCGACAAAGCTGTTCTTTGACCCGCCTTCAACCTCCCTCAGACACCTCTGGGAGCGTTCAGCCAGTTCGTATGTCTCACCTTGTACCGCTCCCGTTTTTCCCCTTGCCATGCCAAACCCTGCCGGGTTTTCTAAGGACACTCTTTTCTCCTGCACACAATCCCCATCAGCCCCTGAGAACGGCTGATCGCATTTCGCCATTGTTGTGTTTGTATGTGAGAGCGCTCGGGGCCGTTTTTACGGGTGCCGCGCAGACGCTGCCCACGTCGGGCAGCAGACCATTCATTCAAAGGTTTGACTCTCTGCGGGTTTGTCTGCTGGGAGCTGGAGTGGAGGGACATGTCCCCGTGAGGGTCTCCCTGGCATGTGTGACATATGTTTTTATCTGTGTGTGTGTGGACTCACTGCATGTCGGCTGTGCAGTTTCTCCAGAAGGGTGTAGTCCGTGCCTTTGGGGAAGCGACTCTCTTCATTGATAAGAGCCAACATGCCCAGCTTCTAAAGGGGATGCAGACAAGAGGAACAGGGAGGGTTGAACACAGCAGTCATGATGAAACTAGTTATAATCCCATTGGTTCACATCTGGCAGCTTCTGTCATTACAATGTGCACAGGAAACAGCGTAAGACTTCATTCAATTTTTTTCTTTTTTTAGTTGACAAAAAGGAGGCTCACTGAGCATGCACGATGTTTGCTGGCACTGCACGGTTGCACAAAGTCATCAGAGATCCCTCTTATAGCGGGACATCCATCCCAAGTGAGCGCAAAAGAAGGGATACGGTTTGCTGTGTAGTTCCTTTGCGCTTCACTTAAATTTCTACCCAACGTCTAAGGATTTTGACCCCGGGAAACCTCTCAGTGTTTCCCTCCGACCGCGCCTCCAGCCGCTGGCTGCTGTACGTTACTGTGCACGCGGCGTGCACAGTGAGACTGTTTTAAAAGGCGGAGTAGGAGACGGAGGGGGCGGCGTAAAGCGCGGCGTGGCGTCGAGGTCTGTGCGCCGCGGCCCGGCGGTTAGCGGTAGACCCCGGCGGTGACTCTGCTCGCTCTGGGTTACCTTTTCTATGAGATCCAGACACTCCGCGTTATCCATCCAGTCTATGGCCTCCCACTGGATCCCCTCCCTGAGGGGGACGCACACACAAACACACACACACACTCACCGAGTGTATATACAAACATAAACAAGTAAGGAGACACAATGGCTGCATTGTCGAGCGTGAGCATGTGATGAAATGGGCCATGTCCAAGCTGCTGGCTCATTATACAAGAAAACAACTGTCTGGGCAAGAAACTGATCTGACCCCAAACCCTCTGGCAGCCTGCCAGCTCCCAACCCAACCCCCGACCCCCACCCGCCAACCCACCCCCACCCGCAGCTGTATCTGTCTGCGGGACTGTCTACAGCTATTGAGAAGCCTTGTTTTGTTTTCCACTGCATTCACGAGCAATCGAGTCCCACCCAAAGACATGGATGTCTCTTTTTTTGGGGAGACGGGGAAACTTTCTTTACCTGTTGTACTCGAGCTGCTCCAGCGAGAAGATGTGCTTGTTGAAATACTCCTGGAGTTTCTCGTTGGCGTAGTTGATGTTAAACTGCTCAAACCGGTTCACCTACACGATGGGAGAGAGTTTAAAAGACAGTACAGACCAGTGGCACATCATTCCAGGGGCAGATAATGCTGATTTTTGTTTCTTAATGCTCTAATGTTGAAAAAAAGCATAATTTTTTATCATATAGATAAACCTGTAGTCATTCCTTTTCTGAAGAGTTTCAGAGGTAAATCTTTTCTTTTATGTCTGTTCTAAAATAAACAAGCGAACTTTCACCTCAAAGTTCTCAAAGCCAAAGATGTCCAGGATGCCGATGGACTTGAAGTTATCTTTGCCTTTGATCTTTTGGTTGATCCTCATTATGATCCAGGAGAAACACTGAGAATAAAGTGCCATGGCAACAGAGTCCCGCGAGTCCACTGCCTGCGAATCATGACATGGAGAGACAAAAAGGTTACCATGGATACCAATGTGTCTTCATCGCAGCGCACAGTTCATCCCCATGTTCACGGCAGATAAAGACATCATTACATGTGATGTGTAGGGCCTCAGTCGGGTGTCCATGAGACAAAGCGTGTACGTTTTAGCGGTGATGTCTGTTGTTACGACACAGTCGTTTATCATCTACATGTTTAAGGCCGTTTCTGTTCATACATCCAGTGAAAACAAAGACAAATGTAAAAAAACTGCTTTTGTGGACGATTGTCTCGTTTTATGATGACCTCTACCTTTAAACAAACACCCCAAGCAAGACAAACAAAATAGAAAATTCAAAACGAAATAACAAAGAAACATCTGACACGGCTCTGCGTTTCTCTCGTGGCGTTCAGCCCGACATCATCCAACACAAAAAAGCTTGAGCTTGCCAGCCACACTTCCTCCACTGGCATTGTGCTTTCACATGAAAACAACACTAGGTGTGTACTGTATTTGGTGGCGACAATGCTCCTGGGGAGCGATCCATCAAGACCCTTCACCTCCTGCGACTGGCCCGGTGTGAAACAAGAGCGCCGGTGGCTCCAGGATCTCCGTCACAGTGGCGAGAAGAATGGCTGTTTGTCCAGGGTGGCGGGGGAAGAGGGCCTAGTGCAGGCGGTCGCAGGGTGCCTGACCTCCTCACACACCCCCCCCCCTCCCCATGGCCACTGTGAGAAGGAGCCATTCTTACCGAGTCCCGGGGCTGGAATAATGAACTCTATTAAGACACAAGCTGCTTCCAAAAGGCCAGGCAGTGGCCGGGTGACAGCGCGAGGTCTTTGTCTGGTGGTGAAAAGCTTTCTTGTGACTTTTTGTGTCTGTGATAATAGTAAAAAGGTCCACGCTGCACAGTCGCTGGTATTTATGCATATGAGGTGTCCAAAGGCCTCAAAGCTCAACCAAAAAGGATTGCGTCATGTGTCCGAATGTCCTTGTGGCGTAAGGCGAAGGGGGACAAACGCACGCCGATACAGAACTGTGAGGCATTCACGTTAATTACGGAGCCCGGCGTGGAGATTTGAGGCCGAGGGAGGATTATTGAACCGGCGCCTTGGTGCTCGAGCCGCGCTGCCTCCAGAGGAGAAGCCTCCCGCCTCGCCCTCAGTCATTGGCCCTATTGTGCCTTTGACTGAGATCCCTATCACGATGGGTTTATTGTGCCAGGAATCTGGCAGACAAAAAGCAGGAAATGGCCGGGAGTCACGCAAGGGATCTGGAGAGGCATGTGAGCGACGGAGAAAGAGTGTGTGTGTGTGTCACCGGGACAAGGGGGGCGTGTGGACAGGGGCCAACAAACAGGCATCTACTGTATGTTTCAGTGTGTTTTAATGCAAAGGGAAAAGCACAATCCTTAAATCCCGGGATGCCGCGGGAGCAGCGTTGGATTGGTTACCTGCTCCACGGTGAGCGGTGAGCAAATCTCCTCTCCTCTGAGGATCATGGAGCGCTGGGTCAACACCTCCGAGAGCTGGAAGGAGTCCAGGCCGAGCAGCTCGCTGACGTTGCTGACAACTGGAAAAAACACACGTGCACAAATGTCTCAGAGGTAGCGTGTGCGTGTGTGTCACGTTCGGGTGTCTCCCTGTTCATGTGGAACAACACCGGCGACATAAGGCCCGTAGGTCCCACACGGTCTGCAGGTAACTCTGCTCCGCGTGGGAGGTGGGGTAGAGGGGGGAAAGGAGGGAGGGGGGGGGGGGTTGCAGTTCTCTGCTGGCACCGTAGTTCACTGGTTCTTTGGAAAAGAGGTCGCACACAGCAAACAAAGGAGACTGGAGCTCATGTTACAGCCTGTTCAGAGCCGTCTGCTCCTGCAGTGTCAATCAAACTCAGGGGAAAGAGGTGTAGAGCAGAGATTGTCCCGAATCTAAATATCTGATTCAAGTTTACTGTTTCAACACAATCCAGCATGAACAAGTGGTCATTCAACACGTATTTCTTTGCTGTATAAACTTCAGATACATTTTTTTATCCAGCATTTCATCTTTGTATCCATTTTCCTGCAACATGGATAGGGTAAAAATAATGATAAACGTTGTCTGGTTAGCAAAGCACTGTGCCCTCAATTTTTTAAACATACTTTGGTTTTCAAAGGGAACGTGTAACTGCAGATGATCTGTAATTTTTATGTCATTTCAGGATTTCATAGTGTGTCCTAGAAATAACTATAATTTCGAAGGAATTATGGTGGGACCAGGAATTTCCTTCTAGGATTTGCTCCATTTAAAAACCCACGTAAATGTACACCGAGTACTTCAAACTTCCATATCTGTTGACAAATCTTCAGTATATAATAAAATATAATTAGTTCCAAATCACAACTTTCCAAGAAATAATTTGGAGATTAAAAAAGAAAATTCCTAATTTCCCATTTAAGATTCCTATACTCCTATTTTGACTTAACTCTCTCCTACTAGTTTTACCAGTGTGGTACATGTGGACAATGTGCATGTAACACACTCTGTGTCGTAGGTCTGCCACATATTTCCCTCCTAATCCCTTCGCCTACCTCCTTTGGAAGTGATCTGAGCTCCACCAGCAGTCATGAATTCAATGTTCCCCATCTGGAGGACAGCCGACAGCAACTTAAACACGTCTCTAATCTCCTCCTCAGTGAACTCCATCACACTCAGGGCCGCCTGAAACACAACGGAACCACGAGGACAACATGTCAAAATGTGAAAGACACGGTTTTCTTACACTTCTGTGAAAACAATATGTTCCCCCATAATGTTCGTCCAAAGCCCAAAGGCTCTGCGCTATCACACCGGCGGTAAAAAGGCTTACGGCGCCCCCTGGAGTGCAAAGTAACCACCTGCACCAATTATTGACACACTCATCGTGGCCTCACCATCACACTGTCAAAGAGCTGCTTGTCATCCAGACTTCCATCCTCAACGCAGCCCGACTGGCTGAGGTAGTGATACGACTCGGGACCCTCCGACAGGAGGAACATGTCTGCAACACAGAGGCGTGAGGAAACGCACACTCAAATAAATCAAGGGGTCGATACCTTTTAATCCAGAGGAAAACCTACGATTGTCATCGTCGAGAAATAAAGCATCCTTTTACACAAACCTCTGTGGTCTTTGTCAGCTCCCGCTAACAGAGAATAAAAAATATGGTAGTTTCTCTCTCCGGGATTTTGTCGAACGACTCGGTTCTTGGAGAGAGAAAGATGGTTGGAAGAAAATCAAGTCAAGTGTTTCACGAGAGAATGGACTGATCGATTCAGTCGAGGAAGATACTCGCCGATCCCAGTCGCTGTTTCAACACAAACCTACCTTTTCCAGCAAATCTGACGATCGAAAGTCAAGGAGAACAATGGAGAACCATGTACAGAACGTCCTCTGAAACAAACAGGCGCTACGGACGTGTGATTTCACGAGAGAACATCTAAGTGAACCGTCGGAGGATACAGTCGATGATGCAGCCTCCCTGAATGTTTCCGTTCTGGGAAAAGTGAAGCTGGATGAACTTGCCAAAGCGACTGGAGTTGTTGTTGTACACAGTCTTAGCGTTGCCGAAGGCCTCCATGATGGGACTGCAGAGAGAGCAAATAGAAGATCTGCTAGGAAAGCCTTTTTTACAAATCACAGGTTTGTCACATTATTGTCTAGTACGTATTTAGACCTCTTTACTACAGTGATGGAAATCTTTCTGTTACATGAACAGAAATCAAAGCAGTCATCGATATTCTTGATCGCCACAGAGAGCCACTAACCAAATAAACGCTTATTTCTCTAAATTCAGGGTGGTTTTCATGAGAATACGTCCCCCTTGCTCTTTCACACCCTTGGATTCAAACCGTACCTGCTCTGGACGAGCGCCTGCTCCACCCTGGTGGTCCTCTCCGTCAGCGGAGCGCCAGCCGAGTTTTGACTCATCACCGAGAGAAACTTCAGCAGCAGCTTAGTGCTCTCCGTCTTCCCGGCGCCGCTCTCCCCGCTGACCACGCGAAAGACACAGAAACCATCCGTCAAACCCGCCGTGCGTTTGTTTGCGTCGGAGCCACAAGTGTCCGCTGATTGCACGTTTAGTTCTCAGGCCCTTTCGTGGCAATCGCTCACCTGATGAGGACGCACTGGCTGTCGTGTCTCTTCCACAGACAGCGGTAACACTCGTTGGCCACGGCGAAGATGTGAGGAGGAAGCTCCCCCATCTGGTGTTTGCTGTACAGGTCGACGGCGTCGGCGTCATACAGGCCCGCTATCGGCTTGTAGGGGTTCACGGCGGCCAGGATGGAGCCGATGTTGGTCTGAGGGAGACGAGGACAGATTGTTAGTGAAGGGCAGAATGCACCGAGGGGGTGAAAGAGAAACAGTTTGCATTTTACACCAGAAGTTACAACTTTTTATTTACACAAATCAAATTTCTGCATGAGATTTGCAGCGTAGTTACTTAACAGCAGCTCCTCAGATTCGCCCAGTTTCCTGTGACCCAGTACCTGAAATCTTAAAATACCGCATACGCTTTAATCGCTTTGGGGAGGGCTCAACCAAAAATGTGTTTGTGGGTCATCTTTCCACAATGGGATTGTTCTGCGAGTCCATGAATGCGGAACAGTACAAACCCTCCGTGATCAGATTAGGAGATCAAAAAAAAAACACAGTCACCATGTGACCGTGGGCAGTGATTATTTTAATCAGGCCCGGGTAGTGTTTCAAGAGGACTTCAGCACACTGCTGTGAAAATAATCCCCCGGAGTGAGACGGGGCTCGAACAAACACATCTCAAATCTTAATTCTCTTCAGCGCATTCCAGAGGTTTTCTGCATCTTGTTAAATGTTGATATTTATCATTGTTATCTTGCTGGCTTCCGTCAAAGTCACTTCTAGTGTTTAATTACGACATTTCCCTCTGACGAGCCCCCCAAGACGGCGTCTTAATACCTTTTTGTTCTCGCAATGAATTATATTGTAATCCCCTTAAAAAAAATCCACATTTCCAGTTGATGTGGTCTGAGATCTCTTTCTAAGTTGCCTGAAGCATGCAAGAATTCCCAACCCCCCCCCCCCCACCCCCACCCCACCAGGACAATGGACCCGCTGCTTCCAGGTGCATGGTGGCGGCGCACAGTAGAAGCGCTCACAGACGCACAGACAGTGCGGGTTCCTTACGTAGATGTCGTCTTTACTGTAGCGCAGGAAGAGGTTGTGCATGATGGCAGCTTCGTGCAGCTCGGCCAGCGTGGACATGTCCTCCACTCCATGGATGCTGCTGGGGTGCATCGGGTAAAGCGTCTCCCGGTTCAGCTCGGCCGTCTGCAGGTAGATCGCCTGGAACAACACACACGTCCAAAAGGTTTCACAGCCCCGTGTGTCTGTGTTTAAATGAGCTGTAGGCAGCAGTCTGCAGAGCTGGCACGTGCATCATTTACTGTGAATGGATGGATTTTTTATTGAGCTATTCACCGTCTAGTCTGTCAAATGTGAGAAATGTTAATATTATTAGTTTATCTGATAAAGGGTTTCTTGATTTAAGCAGTTCTGGTGCCCGCCGGCCTTCTAATCATCTCAATGGTCGATGGCCGACGATCAACACACAATTTCAAAACAACACCACCGAACTGCACATACGTCTTAAATACTGTAAAGGAGACGAGTTCATGCCCATTTAGTCCTATTAAACATTCCCCTTCAGCATCGGGGTGGGGTCTGAACAGCACTGATTAGAATCTCTCCTCTTCTGGTGTGACCTGCGCTGCATGCATGAATGGCAGCAGAACTGGGGTCAAAATGACAGATTGAGGCCCTAATGTGTGCCTGTCTGTGCACGCTGCCGGCCTACCAGCCAGAGCCCCCCGTCAAACTCATGCCCAGACTTCCCTCCTTGATCAGTTCGATCACAGACACATCTCTTTTGAGTTGATCCAACAGGGGAGCCGGGGAGAGAGAGACAAAGGACGGAACGAGCTCTGCAAACCCACACAGCTCCACGGACCTCTAATGGAAGAGACGTGTGATGGTCACTTGACGGGAAGCCCTGGCTAGATCAATACTGATGGACGAGGAGGCCGGCGGTTGTGGTGTCCCAGTCCATTCATTCTCGCTAGCTGTGTCCCAGTTGGGAGCAGAGAATGGTTCTCACTCAACTGCTGAGTCGGCGCCGTGGAGGCTGCTGAGGTTTGTGTAGTCTTGATCAATTGCATTGATATGTATCTATTGATTGAAACTTGTGTGAGTCTATATGAAAGTGAGGAAAAAGGCCTTCCACGTACAGATAGACGATGGCCCTCAGAGATGGGCGTAGCCTGAGACAATAGCACAATAACAATGGCGTCATCAGAGGGTTGATACGTGTTTTGGGGCTGTTGAGGTCTGTGAAATGGTGAAGAGGACCTCGGGGAGAAAAGCAGCACGTGCAGTGATGTCATCCATCGAGCAGAAGGAGGCAGATTTACACCCAGATGTCCATAAACAATCGGCTTAAACCCCACCCTCTCCTCTCTGACAAATTGGCCCTGTTCTACCAGGCAGGGCTGCTGTGACTGATAAATCAAGAGAAAAAAAAGCTTTCACTTGTCTAACATCCTTAACCAGTATCATCATTTTACATCAAATTACATCACTCCCTTAATGGGATTGATTCAGTATCAACACCTGGGGCTCTGGAAGAGCACTGACTAAAATGTGCTCAGACAAATCCCTATTAAATCAAAAAAAAAATTGATTTCTGCTAATTGTTTGCCAAAAAAAGAAAACGTATATCTTTGGTCTGAACTATGTCATTTTAAATGGATTAAATATCAATTTTAAGGATTACGTTAATTCCAAACACATGGTCTTTGTAGGGTCTAATATGTCACTGTATTTATTTTTTATGTAATATATAGGGAACATAAATTTATTATTCAAAAATATTGTTACGTTATGTATGTATTTGGGGTCAGAGTGTATTTTCTGTTGACGCAGAGGGAGAGACATTGAAACCCAATCAAACAAACCCACACAAATGGGGGCAAATATTAGACCCGTGTTGTCGTGCTTCACATTCCCGGAGCGCAGCTTCAAAGTAACGAGGACGTGACTGGGAGAAAAGATTGTTACACGATAGCAATCAGCGAGGTGAGGCAGCCGGGCCGCGTTACCTCAAGAGGTTTCTCAATACAGCTGCAGGAAAATATGAAAACAGCAGAGAGGAATTGTCTCGTCACATCTTCAGCGTGTCTTGTTTCTTTCTTCGCGTCGTATCATGTGATCGTTGTTTTTCATCCGCTGTGGATAATTGTGAGCCTCGGGGGACTTTTTCATGGCAGAAACATCAGGGTTGCTCGGGGAAAGCCGAGCTGGAGTTTCCAGCTTCAAAAGAGGTTTCACATTCCATTTTCAATGGTTTGGTTTGCGTGTTGGATTTGATTCCCGTGAGATAAGTCACAGAGTTTTAGTTTTGTCCGTACAGCCGAAAGCATTTCTCATCTGAATCCATTAATGTCTTCCTGAATTTGTTTCAAAATGATTCACAAGACTTATGTCAAACCGCAGTAGATAACGGCTAAAAGGGAGCTAAGATGGCATATGAGAGCATATCTGGACGCAGACTGACGCACTTTTCCATCTCAACTTCAATCCTAAAGAGGTACGATTATGTTCTCTTAGGGTCCATTAAGACGTTTAGACCCACTGGAACATTTTCCATAAAGGGACCGTGGAATAAAAGCCTGTCTTAGCCCCATCAGTGAAGTAACACTGAGTGTTGGCTGTTATTGAATTACAACTTCCACAAAAAGGAATCGGAGCTGGGATCCATTGGATTCAAATCCACGCTCGAAACACGAAGCAGATACTTTTCCATTTGAGCCTCATCAGCGTTAACGTTCTGGGTGGAGTAATGATCGCTGGAGATCATTCCATGTCCCTTATAACCAACTGTGACCCGTCGCTGATTAGTGGAACGGTTCGCTGTTAAGAATCGATCCTCTCCGAGTGGAGCCTGGCGTTGGCGCTGGTGCAGTACGCTGACTGGACCACAAAACAACCCCGCTCACTGACAATGTTGCTGCTGTGGACTTTGTGATGAGGGTTTTTAAGCGGCTCAACGGGGAGGGACATAAAGTTGTCTCTGCTGGTTTCCTTCGTTATTTATTTCAAGTCTTTCCGTTACTTTATTGGCAATGTCATTTATTTTATTATCATGTAACAACCTGAAGCTTTCTCAGGTTCCAGCCCCTCATCTGTAAAGATCCATCAATCTTATTTGTAGATTAGGAAATGTGGATCTGGAGCAGTTGTCCCGATGACCAAACAATAGCAATAATATTGATTTTAAACTTCCCTTTTGTTCCCCTCCTCCGGAACCACACCCTGCTGCAGCTTTGTTCCACGTGGCCTGCTGAATATTCACATGTGGGCGGCGTCGGGCTCTGCCGCTCTGTGGCCTTTAGCCGCCAGATATATTCGAGCCTTTAGAAAATGACACATGGGCACATACAGAATCGCAGGCCTGTGAACACAAACACTGTCTTGTTTATCTTCTTTCTTTTCTTCCCTCTGACTCCCTCTCTGTCTTACAGTGAATCCATCTGCTGACGGGAGATCCCACCCAGACCCCCGAGACATGGAGGGTGGGGGGGTGTTGGGCAGGCACGCACACACACACACACACACACACACACACACACACTCACAGAGGCTTATTAATGGCGAAAATTCTTAGAAATAAAAAGAGTTTTACATTACATCCATGCTGAAAAATCAGAAAACATCTACAACAACTACAAATATTTGGCTCATGCAGGCAGATGCTCACAATAACGTTTGAGAGTGCATGTTGTTATTTCTAATGAATACACACGTCACCCGCAGACTCACATAATGACTCTTTTGACCAATACTAGAGAAAAGAACTGAGGGGCCATAACAAACCTATTTTCAACCTCATGCCTACAGGACTCAGAGGACCACTTCAGACGTCACACTTATAGCTTTTAACTCATTGAAAGCATCGACCCAAAGAGAAGATCCTTAAACATTGTATCTGTGGTACCTCTCTGTAGAAAAGAATGACTGAACGAATACATCATTTAAGAAAAAAGTAAAAAATGATTAAAGAATCGCATTCGAGGCTTGTGGACGGACGAAAGTCAATCTCTTTTTTTCTCGTTCCGGTGGGGAAGGATGACATCACCAGCAGCTATTTAGCACAGGTGACGGAGCCTTCCTGCTTCTCTTTACATGGGCGCCCCTCTGGGGATAACGCACACACTGTTAATCCAGCCGGTGCCATCTGGTCAATACACACACACAAAGACACTAGACATTTATCTCAGCTTGAGTGTGTCTGCAGTGTATTACTGGTCCGCTCAGGTCTGCCGTGTACTGCGTCCAGACAGTGATGAATGCTGATATGATGGTTAATCTGACAGTAGCCAGCTCAGCCTATAAAAGCCGATGCATTGTGGGTAAAGACACACTATGGGGTCTGTAAGATGAGCACTCAGGCAGGGAGCTGCACCTTAGTGTGAGCACTGGAGCAATGGATAATGGTGTATCCCCCCCACCGAGGTGAAATCCTGCCAGCATACATTTATGAAACCCCCTCTGACACTGCACACGGGAGTAAAGACTGCAGGACAAAGACAGACTGACAGACAACACACACTCACACAAAGTACCCTTAACCTGCCAGAGGAGCTGGGTTGAAGAAATGTTTTGTGGGCTTGTGAGCTCCCGTGGTCTGCACGCCCTGCAATGGGGATGAGGGGGTGGGGGGCAGACAGGAGCAGCAGCATGGACACTGGGCTGTGCTGCCGTGGACCCGGGCGGGTCAAATGTATTTTAGTCACCTAAAAGAAAGGCCGACCTAAAAGAATCAATATCTGTATAAGTGCATGCTGAATGCCAACTGAAAGTGGATCTTATTTATACTGTTTTAGTCAATAGAGTCTGTTTGCTTTGCTGGAAAGGACGCTTCATGGTCAGATCGCTTCCGCGCCATGAAGGGCTGCTGAAAATAGTTATTATGCATAATTATATATAATATGAATATTATTCTACGGTGCTAAAATAAGTTTGGCTGCAGCACTTCATTGTTTTCAGCTCTCGAGCTGAGACGCGTGTCGTCTCCAATAGACTGAATATGGATAATCACCTCATGCAACCCCACTTTGAAACACACAAACAATCACTTTAAAATAGAGATTACAACTTAATCGGGGAATGCAAATGAACCTCAGCGGATGCATCGTTCACAAACAAGGAGGTTGTATCCGGTCAGACGGAGGACCCTGAAGGTGGAGTCTGTTTTTCAGTCCCACATTCCTGTCATTCTGGCTGCAGAATCTTAGACCATACGCCTGGCCGGATGGACCGACACATCCTGAGCTTGCATGTGAGGATCACGAAAGAGTCCAGCTCCATTTCAGCTACACCCAATCCCATAAAATGGGACGTCCCCTCAACCAAATGTTTGTTTTTTTCTAACCCCACCGAGGGGAGGTGAAGGCAGCAGCTAGTGGTATTCTCCGGTCACGCTAGGACTGATTCATTTCTCAACCTGCAACCCGAGGCTGTAAATCCTTTGTACCTGGTTGGTGTTTACATTGATCGGATTATAGAAACGTCGAACACATAAGGATGGGTACATTTGTTCCCTCTCACACATCATTGATAACCCTCAACCTTAAATACAAGGCCTCGTCTTCACATGGCTCTTTCAAGGACACCGGCAATAAATCACAGCTCTCCGGCTTGTGGTTCGGATAACGGCCGTCTGTATGCGGAAAGGATGTTTTAAGTAGAGATCCTGCAGAAAGGGCCGGTCCCTTCCCGAAGCCCTGACCCGAGCAAAGACCCGAGGCTGCCTTTGGACAGTCAAGAAACTAAGGGACGATTATACGCACCTCTTTTATGGTTTGTTTGGATGATTCTTTTTGACCCACACTCTCTCTCTCTCTCCCTCCCTCTCTCTCGCTCTCTGACAGGATTTCCTCCAGACACAAAGACCCCCCGCACTGCCAAACGGATAAGCTTGGGCCAATGAGTTGACACAAGGAGCCCGTTCCTGTCATTCTTGTTGTATTACAAAAGGTGTTGATTCCAGCCTTTGAGATGCACACGTGTGCAAACAATTAACCTTGTGCACACTCCTACGTTATACTACAACCGTGTAAATTATAAATGAAAGACCAAGGGAGTCTCTACAGGTACGTTGTATCAGTTAAAACAAGCAAACTTATGATTGCAACTCATATACACAAGTATTGGCTTTTTAAGGGTTTCGCAAATTCATGCGAGAACAGACGTTAAACCGATGGAAACATGCTTCATGGTGCACACTGAACAATGACATCGGTGGAACTGTCAAAGGCACTCAGGTAATGCTTCAGCAACGAAAAACAGGTCTTCTTACCTTCCCATAGTCGGTGGTGAGGACCAAGGACGAATGGTCACTGGAACTGACGGTGGAGGGGAGGAGCTGTTCTTTGTGCATCAGCCAGACGCGGGCCCCCTGCAACGCAAGGAAACACGTCAGCATCCGGACACATCCGGGAGTCTCATTGGAGTCTTCGCTGTGGGCATTTGCAATAAAAATCCTTTTATGGTGACGAGAAAAGGCAAAGTTGAAAATATCCCGCGTCGTTTAAGTGTGTGAGCGTACCAGGTGCGTGAGAGGTTTTCTGGGCAGAGATGACATCTTCTAGTTTTGTCACATTTTTCCCAGCGGTACTCAGCCCTGAACACTGAACTGACACAGTTATCCTCCCATTACACTGTCATTGCCTGTTAGTAGGGCAGCATGCAGAGGGTGCGTCAGACACTACAACAGCCACTCAGATTCACACACGCAGTAAAAGTGTCAAAAGGGGCTTTCAGTCTTTGGTTGTGAGAGCTACTTCATGAAACAGAAGCACATGTACCCAAACGAGCGCCACAAAGCAATGTGTCCATGGCACCCATTCCTTCATTTTTCTTCAATCAGGCAAAAAAACAACCCGCCGCCTCCACCGTCGCGGATCAAGTCCCAGTTCCAGATGGAGATCGTCAGCAGCACCAGCTGACCCGGGCCGCCTTTTTCTCTCCCGTGATTGTGTACGAGTCACTGGCCTTCCCAGACATGTTTGTTAGCAGCTCAGTGACCAGGAGCAATAACAGGAATCTGAGGCCGATTGCTTAGACTGTCATTTCCTCGCAGCGTCAGAAGATGCATTTATAGCACCGGCTGCATTTTAACGACAGCAGTGGAGGAGAGTGAACGGCTGTGCGGTCAAATTTGTAAATCGTTAAGGATGACTAACTCCATAAGTGACCATAAAACAATTGGAGGATGAGCATATTAACTTTAAAGGAACGTTTACTATTTTGGAAAAGTGCTTATTTGCTTGCTTGGGGAGAGTTAAATGAGAAAATCTATGCGACTCTATGCCAAGTTTGTCCGTTGAATAGCTTAGCATAAAGACTGGAAACTCAAGAGTAAACAGCTAAACTAGCAGCTTTACCTTGAAGGTAACAACATTTTCTAGCAGCTGCAATGCTTAACATTTAACAAGTCATATCTGGTTTGGTGCAGCAGTCAACCCCCGCTGAGCAAAACTAACAATTAATGCTTATTTATCTTAAAAATGTCAAACCTTTCCTTTAGGCTTTATTTTTCCTTCCTCAGTTTACGGTTTCAACTGTAGATCACGTCACATGAATCAAATATTTTGGTTTTCGCGGTGACATTTATTGGATGTGCACTTAGATATTATGACTGTAAGTCACCCTCTTTTGTTTGACAAACTAACCCCCATTAATCATCCCCACCATTGAAGTGGCCGGAGAGAACTCGCAGCAGAGGGGAACTGAGAGTCCAACAGAGCATAAAGCCGAAGCGATCGATATGCATGGATTCCACCAGGAAACCTTATACAAGGTCACCACATCTAGACATCAATCCTCATTAACTATTAACAACAGGCTGCCACGTGTGCACACATACCCTCATACGTGGAGCGAAAATGTTTTTGGCCACCGGGTTCTGAGCCGAGAACCGAGATGCTTTTGTTTGACGGAGAAATGCAATCTTTTTTAAAAATCTGTGCTGAATCACGGGGGCGAAGAGGAATTACTCAGAGTCCATTTGTTTAACTTGCTCAGTGACGACCGATCTTGAGTCTTTTGGCTTCATTTCATGATTTCCTTTTCCTTGTTTGGACAAAGGGTCGCGCACTCCAACCAGGCCGTCTGCAAAACCTACTCTCATCTTTATTTTTTTTCAGTCGTCTAATGGGTTGCATCTAAATGTGGCTCTCTGAAACCACGAGGGAGCGTGTTGAGTGGGATAAAGGGGGTCGTGTAAATTAGAGGAGGCTCTGAGAGGGGAAAGAGGAAGGGTGCAGGCACCTGATAATGTCCCGCCTCCCATTGTCTGCACGAGGAGGCGGACAAACAGAAACAAACACCAGGGCACAAATAGGACAGAGGTACCCTCCAACACGGAAACTCAGCTCGCCGCTAATGAGGGGCGATCGGTGACCCTCCACGCCGGCAGCCGCCTGCGTCCGCCTGGTACGAGCCCGGCATGCGCGGCCTATTCAAGGCAAAGCCGCTTCACGTGAGTTCGCTGAGGTCCAGGGGAGGAGATTTGCCCCGTAGATTTTTAAGGAGATCACTTCTGTTATGTAACTGCAAATCACGGAGGCTTGAACTCTAGCAGAAGGCAGCTGGTGGAGGCCGCGCCCGCGCCAAGCCGCAACAGTGGAGGCGACGATGTAAAGAAACACGCAGGGAGAGGGGGGGTAAACAGAAAGGTAGATTGTGTAAGAGGGGACGCATTGTAAAGCAGTAAGATGCTGCTTTGTTTTTTCGACACCACATGGCGGGATGGCTTCAATTTTAGTGCTGCAAAACATCGAACCATTTTCCAAGATTTGAAGGGTTTTGTCGCTGAGTCAGTCTCAATCTCTGGATAATGAAATGAGTAAACACTATATGGTAAACCAAAAGTCAGAAACAAGCTCGCCCTTAAAGATGCTGTTAGAAAAATTGGAATCAACACCGGTGTGAAGTCATTAACAGGACATTATTAAAAATACTTGGTATTTGGAGCAGAGGCGAAACACATACAGATCATGCCTCAAATCTGCTGAAAGGATTCTTCCTTTGGCTTCGACCTTCGTCACCTCCACACCGGGGGAAAGATCGCATGGTCATTCATGATTAGAAAGATGGGAGAGAACGCTTTGTTTACACCTTTGTAGAATGACTTGCTGGCATACTGTCCTGATCCTGAATTGGTTTGAACCATGTCCCAGTATACAAGAGGTCACAGAACTTCTGTCCACTCAGGCAAACGATTATTTAAGTCTTTCCAACAGACGCCCATTCTGGTCTAGCTTGCTGTACCGGCGTCTCTGGAGAACGGCCCACCAGGCACTATAATCTAAATTGCGCAGAAAATCAGTAGTTGCCTAATAAACACGTACATGATTCTACCAAAAATTTGTCACATATCCTTTTGTGTTATCTCCCGTTTGTTTTGCTTTAAAATGTCAAAGCAGTCTTCTCGGTATTAAAGGATTTTCAAAATTAAAAAATAAATAATTAATGAAAAAGGTAAAAAAAAAGCACTCCAGCACCCAACTGCTCTCTGATTTCCGTTCCTCACTCTCTCTAAACCTGAACCACCTTTTGCCTTTACAGCTCACACTCCAATACAGCCGGCGATGCCGCTGGATGACTGTCAGCCAGTAAAGCTTAAGTTGACCGCGGGGTGCTCGTCCATTTGCTTGTGTCTTTGTTCGTGAGCGTATGTGTGCCAAAAAGAGTCCGAAGCCGGAGCGGAGATGAATTGCCGCGGCAACAGATGGCCTCAACAGAGCTCCTCCCCCTTGTCCCCTCCATCCTCAGGAGCTCCGTCACCAAGTCGGGACAAAGGCAACCACCTCGGACTGAGGGCTTGGGGGTTAACCAGGCGGAAACATCCCAAACAAAAGCCAGCTGGGACGCAAACGGGACACGGGTCTAAACTCGAATCCCCTGCAGCAGCACAACCGACCATTCAGACCAAACCAGCGACTCGGCGCGTGTTGTTGTTGCATCACTGGGAAGCACAGAGTCGATCTCATGAGGAAACACATCCTTCACTGGATGGAATCACCCAGTTAACCACCACTCCCGCGCCTCTGCTAACCAGATGTTTCTCCATTAAAAAGCTGCCACCACATTTCCAGCTCTATAGCTCATTTCAAATTCTTGGTGGTGCGTGTCACTGAGCACGTGTGGCAGGACCCCCGGCTGACAGCGGTGATCCAACACGCCAAAAGGGGGCCGTGCGCCGACGTCCCATCATGCTGCCCGACACAGAAGCCCGCTGGGGCTGAATCACGTAACCCTGGAGTTGGAGGCTTGAGTTGCCAATGAATGAAGAGTTAAATATTTAAGGCCCCGCTCGGTAACAAAAAAGGTGCCACGGGTACTTTGGAAGCCGGCAAGGCGCGTGAGCACCAGGCGGTATCAGGTGACCGGATCAGACAGAACCAAATTAAGCTAATTAACATCGTCCCGACTGGGGACTCGGTCGAACGGTCAAGTTGTGAAGCCAATTTCTCGGATCACAGCGTGGACTCGGGGGGGTTGGCGAGTGGACGCGTGCCTGGCGGACAGCAGCCTCGGCGGGGCGGGTTCAGCTGACTGCTGGCAAGAAGCGATGCCCGGCTGAGGGACGGGAACATCCAGCTGGACTGCGAGCAGCATCTCATTTGTTATGCTCGGATGAACTTAACAACCGGAACGTATCCACCGGGAACGCATTCGTGGAAACGAAACTCTAGCTGTGGCCGCTGCTCCCTGGTCTCTCTACCATGTGCTTTTTGGGGGGTCGATCGAGATGACGTTTGCCTGAGCTCAGAGTAAACAGATGTTCAAACGCCATTTACACTGCAAATACCCAAACGTGGCATCGTTCCCATAACAACGGAGAGGCGTGAGGCCGAGACCCTTTTGTGACCTCACTGATGTCACAAAGGCAGATGTGCGGTCCAGGACGCTGGATGGACAGACAGCGGTCAAACAGCGCATTGACACGTGCATGCTTCTTGTGTGTGTGTAATAACTATTTTGTTGGGGAAATTATTACATTTTTCGTTTTTTAAATGAGGCTTTATAATTTGAACGTAATCAGCATTTGCTCAAAGAAATAAAGCCATGTGAATTAATGCAGTCAGAAGAATAACAACAATAGCAATGAAGGAGTTTATTGCTCTGCCCAACAAAAAGGGTGAAAATGCAGATTCAGGGATTGTAACCAAATCTGAGATGCTGAGTGAGTGGAATGAGGAGGAAACTGCCAAGTAGCTGGTGAGATTAAAGAAATGGGCTGACTGCCGCTCAGAGGGGAATCTTGGCAGAGACTAACAAACTTTCCAGTTGGGCAAAAGCGGGACGTCCTACTTGTTATCCAGATATTTTAGATATTTCTACTGTTTTTCTCAGCAGCTCATCTGTACCAATGCCGGGCTCAGTGTCGCT